GGATTCCATGACTTTCTAGGACCCCTGTGACTTCTGCAGTAGCCACTGTGACTCGCCCGGGAGCTGCCCGAGCTGCTCAGGCAACCCCTGGGCCAGCTGCACTGGCCGCTGCTGGGGCAGTCTTGGGCCGCCATGCTCCCTGCTTCCGCCAGCAGCAGTGGGCGGTCCCAGACTGCCACCCCCGCCCCTCCCCGCACCAGCAGGGGTCCTGGGCTGCATGCTGCTCCCCACCCCCGAGCACCCATGGCATCCCCGAGCTGCCCCCACCCCCCAGAGCACCCGCAGCATCCCCGGGCCGCCCCCTGCCTGAGAGCACCTGGGGTATACAGTACAAGTCATAGACAGGTCACGGGCCATGAATTTTTGTTTACTGCCCATGACCTGTCCATGACTTTTACTAAAAGTACCCTCAACTAAAACATAGCCTTAATTATCCCCCACGACCTCCAAGTCTTTTTCAGTCATTGCTTCCCAGGATAGAGCCCCCATAAGCACAGCTACATTCTCCGTTCCTACATTTAACTGTATTAAAACGCATATTATACTTTATTGTTTGCTTGTGCCCAGTTTCCCAAGCAATCCAGATAGCTCTGGATCAGTGAGCTGCCTTCTTCATTCGTTCCCACTCCCCCAATCTTTGTGTTATCTGCAAATTTTACCAGTGATGGTTTTACGTTTTCTTCCAGGTCGTTAAGAAAAATGTAGAAAAGCTTGAGGCCAAGAACCGATCCCTGCAGGAGCTCACTAGAAACACACCCGGTCGATGATCATTCCCCATTCAGAGTTCACGTGGCATTAAGCCAGCTACTGTGTGCTGTGCGAATCCAGTATCTTGCTAGTTTTTTAATACAAATGTTGTGTGGTGCCAAGTGAACCCCCTAACAGAACCCTAAACATGACATCACCCTTTAGCAACCAACTCTACAATCTCATCAAAGAGAAATATCAAATTAGTGTGACAGGATTGATTTTCCACAAATCCATGTGGATTGGCATTACTTTTATTACCCTCCTGAATTCTTTTTTAATCGAGTTCCATACCAGCTGCTCCATTATCTTGCCCAGGATAGATATCAGACTGACAGGCCTCTGATTACCCAGATCATTCCCTTGACACTTTTAAAATATTGGTACAACACATTACCTTTCTTCTAGTACTTCCCCAGTGTTCCACAACATATTGAAAACCAGTATTAATGGGCCAGCCATCTCCTCAGCCAGCTCTTTTAAAACTCTTGGATTCAAGTTCTCCAGACCTGCTGACTTAAAAATATCCAACTTTAGTAGCTGCTGTTTAACATCCTCCTGAGATTAGTAGACTGGAAAGTGTGCAAATTGGGCAGGAGCCCCTGAGTATGTACGCTGGGTGGTGGCTTGAGTGAGTTCACATGGAAGTGTGAATGTGTCCACATGTGTGTGTGTGTGTGAGCACATTTTCACATTTAACTCTAGTGCAGGCTCCTCTGCACCCCCACCTTGACCTGAAGCCATGTTCCCCATGCTCTGCTGGCTGGCTGCCCCACTGCAAACGTCACCGTGTGAAGGGGCCCTGGGTCTGGGCTCCCAGCTCAGTGGGGGAGCAGCGTGTTCCAGTGCTCCTGTTCTATGCCTTTGCTGGGTCACTGCCTTCAGTGCAGAGCTGGCTCATTGATCTGCATTGATCCCAGCCTCCAGAGAGCACCCAGCGCAGCCTGTGCAATCCTGCCTGGCCACCACCCAGAGGGGACAGCCAGGGGCTCCCGCAGGACACAGTCACCTTCCCCCCACAGCTTCCCTGCCAAGAGTAAGGTGCCAGAGGGGGCACAGGACCATATACCAGCTCTACCAGCCAGGGGTGGGACTCTGGATCAACTCCCTGCTCAGCTGGGCCAGGCCAGGTTGGTACATGGAGGGCGGCCTTCAGGGAAAAGCCAAGTGGTGTAGGGCTGCGGCAGATGCACGGCGGTGATCGGAGTCTCCATGTGCCACCCATCCCCAGGCGCACTGCAGGGCGCTTGGAGGAGGAGGAAGAGGTTCCACACACACAGGGGTCAGCCCCTGCCCTGAGCTGACCATGGCACAGTAGGCGGGGTGGGGGTGGGGGGATTTGACCCGGAGTATCTCTGCCAGACCCCAGCACCACCCACTGAGATGGGGGAGGGGACAGATCTGGAGACAGCTTATTCCAGGGCAGGGATGGCAGCTTCCCTTAAACAGAGGGAACCCCGCACCCTGGGGCCAGAAATGAGGAGTTCAGGGTGTGGGAGGGGGCTCCCGGCTGGGGCACATGTTGGGGCATGTGGGGAGGGTGAAGGCTCTGGCTGGGGGTGCAGGCTCTTGGGTGGAGCTGGGGATGAGGGGTTTGGGGTACAAGAGGGGGCTCCAGGCTGGGATCAAGGGGTTCGGAGGGCAGAAGGGGAAATCAGGGCAGGGGATTGGGGCGCCAGGGGGCTCAGCGGTGCAGGCTCCAGGCAGCGCTTACCAGAAGCATGTCCCCACTCCGGCTCCTATGTGGAGGCGCGGCCAGCAGGCTCTGCACATTGCCTCATCCACAGGCACTGCCCCCGCAGAACCGTGGCCAATGGGAGCTGTGGACGGGGCACCTTTGGACGGGGCAGCATGCAGAGCCACCTGGGCACGCTTCCGCATACTACGTAGGAGCTGAAGGAGGGTCATGCCGACTGCTTCCCAGAAACCGCACAGAGCAGGGTAAGCTCCTGCCCCCACTCCCTGGTGGGAGCTCAAGGGCTGGATTAAAAGGTCTGATGGGCTGGATGTGGCCCATGGGCTGTAGTTTGCCCACCTCTGCATCAGCGTTAAGAGCCAGCAACTCGCAACCTGAGCTAGCCCAGCCAGGGAGGCGCTGCTGGGAGCCACAGAAGCCCTTTGTCTGCAACCCCCCCTCAGAGCAACCCCTGCTCCTGATTCCACATGCAACCTCCAGGCCCAGCCGCCACCTCACCTGATCTCAGAGGAGCCAGAACCGGCTACGGCGCAGACAGGACAGGCCCCAGCCCGCAGAGGCCTGAGCTGCTCTCCCCCTAGCATCCTGCCCCCCCAGAAAGCCCCACAGGCCGGAGCCCTGAGAGAAAGATCCCCGGCCCAATGGGGAGATGCAGAGAAATGGCTTCAGGCTCCCAGGTCGCCACAGGGAAGATTAAAATCTAAGCCAAACCTTGCAGCATCCTCTCCCCTCTGCCTAGGAACTGTCCTGTTGTACCCACTCCTCCAGCCCCACTGAGTGCCGTATCTCCTTCCTTCTCCGCCCCACGTCTCCCTATGCAATTGCTACAGGCCTTGGACCCTTTAACAGAGAATAGGGCTATCCAGAATGCCTCCCCCACCTCCTCGGCTTCCTGCAGAGATCCTGCCTCCCTCTCTGTCTCCGGTGCGGGGGGACTTGGTGCCCTGGGTCCCTGAGCTCCCAGTGTTCTCGTGTGGAGCTGCCCCTCCTTTGCTGGGGGCCTTCGTCTCCCCCCTGGGCGTTCAGCTCAGCGGGGCAGCACTAGGGCAGGGCCCCACGGCAGCTGCACAGCGAGGGCCCATGCCCAGCCCAGCAGACAGCTCATGGATCGCTCCCTTTGCCCCAGTTCGGCTGCAGCCCGGTGGGTTCCCCTGGCCCTGCTGGGCTTCCATGGTGCCCTTGGCTGATCCCCTCTGGGCCCATTGTGCTGGATTGGGGGCAGGGTGGGGCCCGTGTACTGAGTGGGCTGCTGCAGCCATTGTCCCAGACATGCCGCGTTTCTGCCGACACAGTGAGATCCACAAGGCACTTCTGCTTCATCACCAGCAGCTGCTCCCTGACCCCAGGGTGCCGGGGGGGGGGGTAATTGTCCTGGGCGGAGAGGGCTCAGCTGGAGTACTGGGTCCAGTTTTGGGCCCCACATTACAAAGAAGGGTGTGGACAAATTAGAGAGAGTCCAGTGGAGGGGAACGAAAATGATTCGGGGACTGGAACACATGACTTATGAGGAGAGGCTGAGGGAACTGGGATTGTTTAGTCTGCGGAAGAGAAGAATGAGGGGGGATTTGATAGCTGCTTTCAACTACCTGAAAGGGGGTTCCAAAGAGGATGGCTCTAGACTGTTCTCAATGGTAGCAGATGACAGAACGAGGAGTAATGGTCTCAAGTTGCAGTGGGGGAGGTTTAGGTTGGAGATTAGGAAACACTAAGTCACTAGGAGGGTGGTGAAGCACTGGAATGGGTTCCCTAGGGAGGTGGTGGAATCTCCTTCCTTAGAGGTTTTTAAGGCCTGGCTGGACAAAGCCCTGGCTGGGAGGGTTTAGTTGGGGTTGGTCCTGCTTTGAGCCGGGGGTGGGACTAGAACCTCCTGACGTCCCTTCCTACCCTGAGATTCTCGGATTCGATGAACTGGGTTCCGTGTCCATGTCTCCTGGGGACTCCCGAGTAAATGTGCTCTGTGTCCTTGGGCCCATGACCTGCCAGCCCAGCCTCTCCCCACTGGGGCTCTGAGGGTGGGCTGGAGGAAGGGGGGGTGCATGGATGGTGCATAATAGAGGCTGGGGGAGGCACAGGGGCAGGGCCGCGGGGCAAGGGGCAGAATGGGGCGGGGCTTTGGGTGGAACAGGGGCAGGGCCAGGGCCAGGGGAAGGGGCAAAGTAGTGTGGAGGCCATGGGTGGAAGGGGCGTTACAGGGGAGGAGCTCCAGGCTCTGGCCAGGGTGCCGGTGCCGAGAGTGGGACTCCGGCCGGGGCTGAGCTCTCAGCCCCCTTCCGAGGCCCTGACTGAGTGGGGGTGTCACGGAGTCCCCGGGCGATGCTCTGGAACTGCTCCCCATGGAGCCAGGCAGCACTCTGGGGAGTCTCCTCTCTGGGAGCAGCCTGTCTTCAGGACACGCAGCTCACCCGGCTTCCACCTTCCTGGGTCTGACCTCGGAGCCTTCAGCATCCTCTGCCCCTCCGTCTGCTTCCCACAGCGAGTCCACCCAGGCGGGGTCCTGGGGAAGCCAGAGGGTCCTGCCCCCCAACTCCGCAGTCAGACGTGACTCTCAGCCAGCCAGTAAAACAGAAGGTTTATTAGACGACAGGAACATGGTCTAAAACAGAGCTTGCAGGTGCAGAGAACAGGACCCCTCAGCCGGGTCCATTTTGGGGGGCAGTGAGCCAGACATTCACGTCTGCCCTTCACTCCATGTCCCCAGCCAGCCCCAAACTGAAACTCCCTCCAGCCCCTCCTCCTCTGGGCTTTGTCCCTTTCCTGGGCCAGGAAGTCACCGGATTCCTTTGTTCTCCAACCCTTTAGCTCTCACCTTGCAGGGGGGAAGGGCCAGGCCATCAGTGGCCAGGAAAAAGGGTGTCGGCCATTCTCTGTGTCCAGACCCCTGCACACATCTGCCCTCTAGGGCTCTGCAATGATCATACATCCTTATCCCACCCCCTAGATACTTAAGAACTGCCTAGGGGAAACTGAGGCACCCCCACACTATTCAGAGAAAACATTAAGAACAGTCCCACTTCGTCACACTGAGCTCTCCTCCACCCAGAGTCAGTAGCAGAACCAGAGTCCTGATTCCCAGGCCCTCTCCTCTAACCATTAGGCCCTCTTCTCCCCCTGGCACCAGGAATAGAGCCCAGGAGTCCTGACTCCCAGCTCCCTGCTCTAACCACTCCACCTCACTCCTCCCACACAGCTGACAAAAACACCAAGGAGCCCTGACTCCCCTACTGTAACCACTTGGCTACACTCCCTTCCTATGTAAGTCTCAGGAAAATAAAGGAATGTTGCAGAGAAACCCCAGGGCTTGACCCTAACTAACTCACCTGGCTCCCTAAGGTGCCAATCAGATCAGCTGTGCTCAGCACAATGGGATTTAGAGCATACATTTGGGGCTTCCCATTCGCCTGTTCTTGGGGCCAGATCCCCAGGCAAACTGGCACAGGGGGATTAAATCACACCCGCTGGTCAGTGAATCTGCCTGGGCCCCAGTGGACCTAGACCCTGGGGGTGGGTAGAAGGAGGTCCCAGTGGTGTCCCCACTCTGGGGGGGCTGGGCTCTGGGGGGCACTGGGACGGGAGAGGGGGCTGTGCTGTGGGAGATTAAATCCCAACTAAATCATCCAGGCCAGGGCTTTGTCAAGCCTGACCTTAAAAACTTCTAAGGAAAGGGATTCCACCACCTCCCTAGGTAACGCATTCCAGTGCTTCACCACCCTCCTAGTGAAAAAGTTTTTTCTAATATCCAACCTAAACCTCCCCCACTGCAACTTGAGACCATTATTCCTTGTTCTGTCATCTGCCACCACTGAGAACAGTCTAGATCCATCCTCTTTGGATCCACCTTTCAGGTAGTTGAAAGCAGCTATCAAATCCCCCCTCATTCTTCTCTTCCACAGACTAAACAATCCCAGTTCCCTCAGCCTCTCCTCATAAGTCATGTGTTCCAGTCCCCTCATCATTTTTGTTGCCCTTCGCTGGACTCTCTCCAATTTATCCACATCCTTCTTCTAGTGTGGGGCCCAAAACTGGACACAGTACTCCAGATGAGGCCTCACCAATGTTGAATAGAGGGGAACGATCACATCCCTCGATCTGTTGGTAATGCCCCTACGTATACATCCCAAAATGTCCTTGGCTGCCTTGGCAAAAAGGGCACACTGCTGACTCATATCCAGCTTCTCGTCCACTGTCACCCCTGGGTCCTTCTCTGCAGAACTGCTGCTGAGCCATTCAGTCCCTAGTCTGTAGCAGTGCATGGGATTCTTCCGTCCTAAGTGCAGGACCCTGCACTTGTCCTTGTTGAACCTCATCAGATTTCTTTTGGCCCAATCCTCCAATTTGTCTAGGTCCCTCTGTATCCTATCCCTACCCTCCAGCGTATCTACCTCTCCTCTCAGTTTAGTGTCATCCGCAAACTTGCTGAGGGTGCAATCCATGCCATCCTCCAGATCATTAATGAACATATTGAACAAAACCGGCCCCAGGACCGACCCTTGGGTCACTCCACTTGATACCGGCTCCCAACTAGACACGGAGCCATTGATCACTACCCGTTGAGCCCAACAATCTAGCCAACTTTCTACCCACCTTGTAGTGCATCCATCCAGCCCATACTTCTTCAACTTACTGGCAACAATACTGTGGGAGACCATGTCAAAAGCTTTGCTAACGTCAAGGAACAACACGTCCACTGCTTTCCCTTCATCCACAGAGCCAGTTATCTCGTCATAGAAGGCAATTAGATTAGTCAGGCATGACTTGCCCTTGGTGAATCCATGCTGACTGTTCCTGATCACTTTCCTCTCATGTAAGTGCTTCAGAATTGATTCCTTGAGGACCTGCTCCATGATTTTTCCAGGGACTGAGGTGAGGCTGACTGGCCTGTAGTTCCCAGGATCCTCCTGTCACGGAGTCCCTGGGCGATGCTCTGGAACTGCTCCCCATGAAGCCAGTCAGGACTCTGGGGCAGTCGCCTTTCTGTAAGCAACCTATCTTCAGGACACACAGCTCACACAGCTTCCACCTTCCTGGGTCTGACCTCGGAGCATTCAGCATCCTCTGCCCCTCCGTGCGCTTCCCCCAGCGAGTCCGCTCAGGCGGGGCTCCTGGGGAAGCCAGAGGGTCCTGCACCCCAACTTCGCAGTCAGACGGGACTCTCAGCCAGCCAGTAAAACAGAAGGTTTATTAGACGACAGGAACATGGTCTAAAACAGAGCTTGCAGGTGCAGAGAACAGGACCCCTCAGCTGGGTCCATTTTGGGGGGCAGTGAGCCAGACAACCACGTCTGCCCTTCACTCCATGTCCCAGCCAGCCCCAAACTGAAACTCCCTCCAGCCCCACCTCCTCTGGGCTTTGTCCCTTTCCCGGGCCAGGAGGTCACCGGATTCCTTTGTTCTCCAACCCTTTAGCTCTCACCTTGCAGGAGGGAAGGGCCAGTTGCCAGGAAACAGGGTGTCGGCCATTCTCTGTGTCCAGACCCCTGCACACACCTGCCCTCCAGGGCTCTGCAATGATCATACACCCTTACCCCACCCCCTAGATACTTAAGAACTGCCTAGGGGAAACTGAAGCACCACCCACACTATTCAGAGGAAACATTAAGAACAGTCCCACTATGTCACACCTCCTTCTTCCCTTTTTTAAAGATGGGCACTACATTAGCCTTCTTCCAGTCATCCGGGCCTTCCCCCGATCGCCACGAGTTTTGAAAGATAATGGCCAGTGGCTCTGCAATCACAGCCACCAACTCCTTTAGCCCTCTCGGACGCAGCGCATCCGGCCCCATGGACTTGTGCATGTCCAGCTTTTCTAAATAGTCCCGAACCACTGGGCAGGGGGTTGGACTAGATGGCCTCCAGAGGTCCCTTCCAACTCTGTTATTCTATGATTCTATGACTCTGGGGGGGCACTGGCACAGGAGGGGGGGCCGGGCTCTGGGGGGCTCTGGGATGGGAGGGGGCTGGGCTCTTGGGGACTCTGGGGGGGCACTGGGACAGGAGGGGGGGCGGGTGGGGGGAGGGGGCTCTGGGGGGGGCACTGGGACAGGAGGGGGGTAGGCTCTGGGGGGGGCACTGGGGCGGGAGGGGGGCGGGCTCTGAGGGACTCTGGGGGGGCACTGGCACAGGAGGGGGGTAGGCTCTGGGGGGGGCACTGGGACAGGAGGGGGGGCCGGGCTTGGGGGGTCTGGGGGGGGGGGGCTCTGGGGGACTCTGGGGGGCACTGGGACAGGAGGGGGGGCCGGGCTCTAGGGGGGCTCTGGGGCGGGAGGGGGGTGGGCTCTGGGGTGCGATCACATGGGGTAGGTGGTGCTGGTCCTACGGGCAGGGGCTGGAGGGCGGGGCTCGAGGGGGGGACCCTGGCAGCGCTGGGCAGCCCGGGTGGGGGCGGGGGCGGGGGCACGGGCAGGGGCAGCGCTGGAGGGGACGGTGGGGAGAGGCCCGGGCCGTTGCCCCTTTAAGAGGCGGTCCGGCCCCCGGGGCGGGGCGGGGCGGGGCGGCCCCTTCGGGCGGGGGCGAGGCGCTGCCGTGTCACGTGGGCGGCCGGCCCCCCGCGGGTCTCCTTTGTGAAAGGGTGGGGCGGGGCCTGGGGGCGGGGCCTGGGCCCTGGTTGGCGGCGCGCGGGGGGATAACGGGCCTGGGGGAGGGCGGGGCCTTGGGGCGGGGCCTGGGCACTGGTTGGCCGCGCGCGGGGGGACAAAGGGGCGGAGCCGCGCGGCAGGCGGGGCGGGGCCTGGGCGCTGGTTGGCGGCGCGCGGGGGGGATAACGGGGCGGGGCCGCGCGGCGGGGGCGGGGCCTGGGCGCTCGTTGGCGGCGCGCCGGGAGACAACGGGCCTGGGGGCGGGGCGGGGCGGGGCCGGGCGCTGGTTGGCGGCGCGCGGGGGGATAACGGGCCGGGGGCGGGGCCGCGCGGCGGGGGCGGGGGCGGGGGCGGGGCCGGGAGGGGAGCGGCCCGGCCGGGGCGCGATGGGCCGGAGGCGGCGGCGGCCGCCGCGCTGCAGACGGGCGCGCCCGGAGGCCGAGCCGGCGCCGTGAGCGGCCTGAGCCGCCCCGGGACCCCCAGGCAGGTGAGGGGCAGGGCCGGGGCCGGGCGCGGGGGGTCCCCTGGGGGGCTGGCCGGGCCGCTGCGCCGGGAGCTCCGGGCATGGACCCCCGGGCCCCTCTCCCCCACCCAGGGTATACACCGACCCGCCCCGAGCCCCTCCCCTCCCCCCGGGGCTATAGACCGACCCGCCCCCCCCCCGAGCCCCCTCCCCTCCCCCCGGGGCTAGCCCCCCCCCCCCCCCCCCCCCCGGGCTATAGACCGACCCGCCCCCCCGGAGCCCCCCCCTCCCCTCCCCCCGGGGCTATAGACCGACCCGCCCCCCCGGAGCCCCTCCCCTCCCCCCGGGGCTATAGACCGACCCCCCCCCGGAGCCCCTCCCCTCCCCCCCGGGGCTATAGACCGACCCCCCCCCCGGAGCCCCTCCCCCCCCCCCCGGGGCTATAGACCGACCCGCCCCCCCGGAGCCCCTCCCCTCCCCCCGGGGCTATAGACCGACCCGCCCCCCCCCCCGGAGCCCCTCCCCTCCCCCCGGGGCTATAGACCGACCCCCCCCCCCCCGGAGCCCCCTCCCCTCCCCCCGGGGCTATAGACCGACCCGCCCCGCCCCGGAGCCCCCTCCCCTCCCCCCGGGGCTATAGACCGACCCGCCCCCCCCGGAGCCCCCTCCCCCCCCCCCGGGGCTATAGACCGACCCGCCCCCCCCCCCGGGCCATCCCCCCCCCCCCCCCGGAGCCCCCTCCCCTCCCCCCCGGGGCTATAGACCGACCCGCCCCCCCCCCCCCGGAGCCCCTCCCCCCCCCCAGGGCTATAGACCGACCCGCCCCCCCCCCCCCGGAGCCCCCTCCCCCCCCCCCAGGGCTATAGACCGACCCGCCCCCCTCCCGGAGCCCCCTCCCCTTCTCCTAGCCCTGGCTGACCCCAGAGCCCCTTCCCCTGCTCCCCCCGGCCGGTCCGCTGCTGGCGGGGACCAGAGAGCAATTGTGACAAATTGGGGCACTTATTTTCAGGCCGGGGGGATAGTTGCCCACCTCAGACAAAGCCCCTAATACCGGGGAGTCAGGTCCATCCCCCGATGAGGGTGGTGCCCCCGAGCACCTGGGTCGCGGCGAGCTCCTGGAGAGCTCTGGGTCTGCAAGCTCCTTTCCCAGCAGCTGCCAAGTCTGTGGGGAGTAGCTCCCTACTGGGCGCTGAGCTAGGAGCAGGGTTTTGGCCGGCGGCTTGTGTGCTCCCCAGCTGGGGGGCAGCTGGAGCCATGCCCCTCCCTGTGCAATAACTCCCTTGCCTGCTGTTCCCGCCCAGCTGTGCCCTGATGGATATAGATCTGGACTATGAGAGACCCAATGTTGAGACCATTAAGTGCGTGGTTGTCGGGGATAATGCCGTGGGCAAGACACGCCTCATCTGTGCCAGGGCCTGCAATGCCACCCTCACCCAGTACCAGCTGTTGGCCACCCACGTGCCGACCGTCTGGGCCATCGACCAGTACCGCGTGTGCCAGGAGGTGAGAGCCGAGCAGGGATGGGCCCGTGCCATGGTTGAGACCCCCGAAGCCCCTGGGTGGCACCGTGGGTAGCACAGGAACCCCTGAGGCTTGAGCGCCTGAGTGGAGGAGAGGGGGGAGCTGAGGTGCCATGTGGGGGGCCTGTGGTAGAGGGGAAGCTGCCTCGGGGAGGGGGTCCCACCTGAGCTGTCCTGCTGTGCTTTCCCGGGGCAGGTGCTGGAGCGCTCCCGGGACGTGGTGGACGAGGTCAGCGTTTCTCTGCGGCTCTGGGACACCTTCGGGGACCACCACAAGGACAGGCGGTTTGCCTACGGCAGGTGAGAGCCCGGCGGCTGTTGGGGGTCCCTGCTCCTGGCTGTCCCCTCAGCCTGGCTCCTGGGGGCCCTGTGTGTGGTGCTGCACAGACACCCCACGGCCATGCTGCCTGGGCCCCCGGCCTCACCCCAGTTCTGTTCGGCCTCTTGTGTCTCCCCTGGTCCGGGAAGGTAGAGGGGCCCGGAGGCCTCCACCCCTCTGCTCCCCGGTGGGGAGACCGTTGCTGGAAGGGGGTGTGACTCCCCCACTGCTAACAAGCTCAGTGCCTGAGGCTTCCATGCCCCAGCTGCTCTGGGGAGAGGTGGGGGTGGGGGGGGCACACACTGACCTGCTGCTTGACTCTGCCTGGAGCTGGGCATGTGATTCTTCTTTCCTCCCCTCCCCCTTCTCTGGGGGGGCTCCCCTCCCCTCGGGAGAAGGAAGTTGCTCAGACAGCTGAAACCCTCGGGGAATGGGACTGGCCCCTGAGTGGGGGGTGGGGGAAGTGTCTGGTTTCAGCCCCCCTCCCCCCCCGGCTGCCCTTAGGGCACAGGCAGTGTTGGGTAACAGCAGCGGGTGGCAAAGCTGGCAGCTGGGGCGGAGGGATCTCCTGGGGACATCTGGCCGGAAGGGCCCCTTGGCCCTTTGGCGAACATACCTGGCTCGTGTTCCCCTGGGTCCCTGCAGGCTGCACAAGCATGTGTGTGGAGCCCAATGCGCACAGTGGGGGGCCTGGCTGCTGCAAGGGGGGGGCCAGCCAGGCTGTCAGCTCCCCGGCCAGGCTGAACCTCGCCTCCTTACTTGTGCCTAGGAGTCTGAGTCGGGGCCGTTGTGTTAGGTGCTGTACAAACACAACAGACCCTCCCTGCCCCAAGGGGTCAGCAGTCCCATTCTAGTCCCCTTGGCCGGGGGAGGTCTTGTGTTCAGCCCCAAGTGGCTGGGCCCTTGAGCCTGAATCCCAAGGCAGAGCGGAGGAGCCTGGGCATGGCCCACCTCTTCCCACCCCAGGGCCTGACAGGTCCCAAGGGAGGCTCTCTAGAGCTGTCCTGGCTAGTTTGAAATGCACAGGGGATGAGGCGGCTCCCTGGCCAGGTCTGCCTCCCTGCCAGGTACCGACGGGCCATGCAGCCCCCTCTGGTGGTGAGGGGCTGGGGCTGGGCCCGACCGGGGCGCAGGCCCTGTCTCCGGAGGGGCCGTGCTTACTGCAGGGGTTTCCTGTATGCGCTGCTCAGCCCTGAGCTGTCTTCGCCCTGCGGAGGCTCGGCACGGGCCTGGCCAGGCTGGGTGCAACTCTGCAGCCTGCTCGCTCCCTTGGACCCTCGCTGTGTCATGGGGCGGGGGTGGTGTCTGCCCCTCCCTGCCGGGCACTGCTCCTGCCTTGGCCAGGTTCCTGTGGTGGCGGGCAGGCAGGAGCCACTTGGTCTGTGATGTGGGCCTCGGTCCAAGTGTGCCTCCCAATCACATCTCAGGGAGGCACCACTAAAAACAAACAGGGCTCAGGAGTGGCTCCGGCTGCTCCCTGCCTCATGACAAGGGCCCTGGGGCAGCAGGGCTCCCACAGGCGTCCCGCAGTGCGTTCCAGATGTCCTGTCTGCCCCTGCCCAGGTGGGAGCCTGTCTCTTGACCAGTGCTTGGGCAAGGGCCACATCCAGGGCACTCTGCTTCACATGGGCACCCCCAGCTGAATCCCAGTGACACTTCGGAGACAGGGCTGCTGCTGGCTGGGCAGCATGGCAAGGTTCCTGTATGTGGTGTCTGCTCGTGGGCATGAAAGGTGGTTGTCCCGCAGGAACAGACCCCTCCCATTCCCTTCCAAGCACTTCACAGGAAGTGTTGCCTAGCACAGAAATGCAGCCACCTCTGGCGTGGAGCATGGCAGCTGACTAACAGCTGCACAGGAAGGAGACTCTCCCAGCTAGCTGAAGCAGCAGGGGAAGTTCAGGGGAGTAAATGGCTAAACTGAAGAGAGGCGCTAGCAGTGAGCAGAGAAGAGGGGCTGGGACCCCAGACTCCTGGGTTCTCGTCTGAGTTTTGACTCTCTGTGATCCTGGGTGAGCTGGTGCCAGCTCTTCCCTATGTCTCAGGGAGTTCAACCCCCAGAGACGTGAACACTGAGTACTGGGCACCTTACGACCTCTGCACGAGACGGCACCCCCAGCCACACAGTGCCCTTGCACTTCACAGGGGTGAGTGCCCCCATAAGCCCCCTACCTGCCACAGCTGGGTTTTCCTCCTTCCCCCATGCTGGCCTGGCCTGGCTCCGCCTAGCCTCTCGCATGGGCTGAGGGGGCAGTCTGGGGATGGCCCCAGGCCCCATCCCCTCGTTCGGAAGGTGATGCTAGTGGTACCTGTGTTGTGGAACTGCTGCCCGTGTGCCTTCCCCTGTCCTGCCCTGTGGCACTCTGCTCCGAGAGTGTCTGCCAGCAGGGCCTGGCCCCTGTGCTGAGCATCCCTCTCCATGCACAGCCGGGGGCAGGCACCATGTGCTGCAGGCCTCGCTGAGCCTGGGCCATGTGCCCTGGGCTGGTTCGGGGACTTAGCGCCCCCTTGGGGAGAGGCCAGGTTGGCTGGGCCTCTCCATTCACATGCTGAACAGGTGGCTGCTGGAGCCTGGCCAGAAGCAGCATTGAGGGGGGGGCTGTTCGCCACCCCTCCCTCAGGCACCTTCCCATGCTGAGCTGTGTAGCTGGGGCTGCTCTCCTCCCCAGACTAGTTCAGGCTCTGTGGCCCGTGGGGGCCTTGCCCCAGCTCGGCCAGCGTACGCTCTCCAGGCTTGCACAGGGTTCTCTGATCCTCCCCCCATTCCCAGCAGCTGTCCCCCTGGCTTGGGGGGTTCTGAGGGGAGGGCTGGGCTCCGGTTCAGGGTTTGCACGGGCTCTGTTGGCTTTTGCATGGGCTGCTAGTGGTGGGGGAGCAGCGCTCCTGAAATAGCTGCCTTCTGAGCACCCCACATTGGGCTGCTGCAGTAACCGGTGTGCCTGAGATTCGGGGCCATGCGGGGACAGGTTACAGGAGCCAGATGCCCCCTGTCCCAAGGCTTTTTGGCAGATGTGTCCAGGCACCAGGAGATCGGGGTCCAGCAGTGCAGCCTCGTGAAGTGCTCCTGTCATAGCACTGGGGGCTCCAGAAGTCTGATGGGGAAGATGGGGCAGGATCAGGCCCTTCAGTCTATCCCCAAGGATCTGCCCTCCTTGGCTGGGCTCCTCCCTGGGGGCAGATGGGCATAGGGGGTCCCCACGAGCTCTAGGGCTCTGTTAGTGCCTGGGCAGCTCTGCTGGGGGAACCTGGCTGCTAGATCGCCTGGGTGCAGTGCAGAGGGTGATGTAGGCCCCATGTAGGTGGGGGAGGGGGGTCAGTCTGAGCTTGGGGTTTGCTGTGCTGCTCTGTGCCCAAGGGCAGCAGTCTCCGTGGGTGGAAATAGCAGGTCTGGTGCTGCCCCTCGTCTCTCCCCCTCCTGCCTGCAGGTCAGATGTGGTGGTTCTCTGCTTCTCCCTGGCGAACCCCAACTCCCTGCGCCATGTGAAGACCATGTGGTATTCGGAGATCAAGCACTTCTGCCCACGGACGCCCATTGTGCTGGTAGGGTGCCAGCTGGACCTGCGCTATGCCGACCTGGAGGCAGTCAACCGGGCCCGGCGCCCTCTGGCAAAGTAAGGGTGCCCCCACTGTCTCGGGCCCCGAGGACTGAATGCCGGAAGCAGCCAGCTCTGGGGCTGAGGCTGCCGGCTGCTGGCCCCTTGTGCCCAGCCCTGGGGCTGGTACGGACACAACATTTGCCATTCTCCCCTGGGGCTGTGGGTGTGGAGGAGGTCACTGCCTACCTGTAGGCTCTGAGTGGGAGCAGGGTGTCTGAGACCCATGCCTTGCCCTGTAGATCATTGGCATCCCCCGTCTCACTTGGGGCTTTCGCCAGCACTTTCTGCCTGCTCCTTGGTATGTGCCCAGTGTAGGTGGGCAGTTTGGCTCTCTCCAGCCCTGGCACTGGGCTGTCTGTCCTCTAGCCAGGGGCTCTCTGCTGACCTGCTGGCTCCTCTCCCTTGCCAGGCCCATCAGACCCACGGACATCCTGCCGCCCGAGCGGGGCCACGAGGTGGCCAAGGAGCTGGGGGTGCCGTACTACGAGACCAGCGTGGTGGCACAGTTCGGCATCAAGGATGTCTTTGACAACGCCATCCGCGCCGCCCTCATCTCCCGCCGCCACCTGCAGTTCTGGAAATCCCACCTGAAGAAGATGCAGAGGCCCTTGCTGCAGGCACCCTTCCTGCCCCCCAAGCCACCCCCGCCTGTCATCCACATCCCGGCCCCCCCCACAAGTGGTGGCCAGGGCCCCGCCACCCTCTTCTGCACCTCTCTCTGCGCTGATGTGGTCTTCCAGCTGCAGGGTGGGCACAGAGTCTTTGCCCATCGTGTCTACCTGGCCACGTCTTGCTCCAAGTTCTATGACCTCTTCACCCTGGAGGGGTCGGCGACCCAGGCCGGGGAGCCCTGTGGTGTGGAGTGGCGGGCGGCCAAGGAGCCAGCTGCCAGGACTAAGAGCCTGGACATGGAGAAGGGCCTCCTAGATGATGGTGCCCAGGCCCCGCTCAGGACTTCGCAGAGTGATGATCCCCTGCGGCTGGTGCAGGGCGAGGGCCAGCAGCTGCCAGGGGCCAGGGGCCAGGAGCTGTCAGGCTGGGGCCGGGGCTTTGTCAGCATGCAGCTGGAGTCGGTTCAGGACCCCGTGACCCAGCGGGAGAAGCAGATGACGGTGGTGTACATGGACTGCCTGGTCCAGCCGGGGCCCTTCCAGGCAGTGCTGGAGTACCTGTACACAGGCCACCTGGACCAGGGCCGCGCAGATCTCATGCAGGTGGCCAGCATCGCCGAGCTGCTGGAGGTCTTCGACCTGCGCATGATGGTGGCCAATGTGCTGAACAAGGAGAGTTTCATGAACCAAGAGATCACCAAAGCCTTCCATGTGCGCCGTGCCAACCGCATCAAGGAGTGCCTCAGCAGGGGCGTCTTTGCGGGTAGGGGCGGGGCCTCAGCAGGGGCCTCTTCTAGCATCCAGGTGCTGTAGGAAGTGAGGTTGGGGTTCAATAGGGGGCGCTGTTCCCAGTGCTGCTTGGGGGCCCTAGGGGGTGCTCTCCCCTCAGTTCTGCTGGCCCCAGTGCAGTGCTCCTGGATGCAATTTAAAACTGGGCCCTTCCCCTGCACGTGCACGTCAATACCCTGGGGTACCCTGCCAGATCCTCTGGGGTGAACCCTGGTGGGTCCCCAGCTGGGTGATTCCGTTCTGCTGCCCTCTGCCGTTTCTGGTGGGTGTGGCGCTCTCCTTCCCGGGCCGGACTGCCTGGTTGTGTGGCACTGCTCAGCCCTGGCGTGTCGTTCCCCAGAGTGGCTGTAGTCACGTGGCAAGGGCTGTGCCCTCTGTCCCAGGGATCGTTTGCCAAGCACGGAGGGGCAGGGCTGGGGCCAGGCCATAAGAACTCACTGCATGCTGTGCCCTCGCAGACGTTGTGTTCCTGGTGGATGACGGCTCGGTGCCGGCCCACAAGCCGCTGCTCATCGCGGGCTGTGATTGGATGGTGGCCATGTTCTGCGGCAACTTCCGGGAGAGCTACGCCACGGAGGTGAGCGGGGGGCTGCGCTGGGTGGGGTCGGGGCAGGGAGGGGAATGAGGGGCAGTGTAAGGGGCAGATGAGGGATCCCTGGGAGTGGGGGATCCTGGGAGCAAAGGGCAGGGGTGGGGGAGGGGTTCCTCAAGATCCAAGGGGGGAGCAGGGTAGGGAAGAGGTGTTTTTCCTCCCCCAGCAGGTGAGGGGGTTGGGGCTGATGGGAAGAGCTGAGAGGCAGAGCTCTGGAGCAGGGCTGCTCCCAACTCAGCCTGGTGGTGAAGCTGCTGCTGCCTGCTCCCTCCTCCTGCCTGGCCCAGGGGTGCCCCCCCCCCCGCCTCCGAGGGGCAGAGCCCTTGAGCAGCTGTCCCTCAGCGTGAATAGCAGCTGGCTGGGCTGGGGGGGGGAGGGGGCACGTGACCTGAAGGTTCCTTTCCCCTGCCAACGGGGCAGCGTGGCTGCAGCGTGTCGTCGGAGATAAATTGCGAATCTCAAAAATAAAAAGGTCACGGGGGGGTGGGGGGATCATGTGGCCAGGCGCGGGTGCCAGGGCTGGGGCCAGGGCCAGACCCCTGCACACAGCCACCACCTCCTCTCACTGCTCCCTCCAGATCCAGCCTGCTCCTAGCCCCTCTTGGGGGTCATCCCCCCTCCTGGCCGAGGCCCCTCTAGCATTTGGCTGCCCCATAAGCTGTGATTTCGTGGTACATTATTTGCTGGCTCTGCTGGTTTTACCATTGGGTTTGGGGGATTACAACCGACTTGTTCCCAGCAGACAGGCCTGTGAATGGGGGAATAGCCGCAAGCATCAGCAGGGCTGGGCTAGCTGGGGGCTGTGGGAATGCAGGGGGACGCCTGTTCCTGAAGAGGAGAGAGTGCTCTGGGGGGAGGAGGGGGTTGTTGGGGGTGAGTCCCTTAGGTTCCCCTTGTCACCCCCAGGTCTCCCTGCCTGGCACCAAGTGTGCCTGCCTGCGTGCCGTCCTGGAGTTCCTCTACACTGGGCACTTCACCCCCACGCCTGACCTGGATGCCATGGAACTGCTGATCTTAACCAACCGCCTGTGTCTGCCGCGGCTGCAGGCACTCACAGGTGAGGCTCGGCGCGGCCCCAGGCGGCCTCTCCCAGCTGCTGGGCTGCGGGCCTCCTCTGAGAGCCGCCGATAAGATAACGAGGCTGACGGCCGCAGCGGGTCGATGTGTCCCTGGAGCGTCACTGACACGCAGGCTGTTATGTAAGGGCCCCTGGAGCAGTGCTCGACCCTTCGTGCAGCCCACGTGGGGCAGGCACAGAGCCTGGGTTCTGTCCGCCAAGCACAGCCTGAGCTGTGGGGCAGCTGCCCATGGCCAGCCTGCACCCTGCTTCCCCCCCGCCCCGCACAGCAAGGCCATTGGGCCAGCTGCAAACCGGACGGTTCTCGTGGGCGCCTTGTTCCCGCCCGGTGCTGAGACAGAACCGCATATGGCTTTGTCCGGCCTTGGGCAGGGGACATGGAACGAAGAACACCCTGCTCTGCCTGTGCAGGTGGGTCATGGAGGGCAGGGTCATGCTGTTCCCAGAAGCACCAGAACAGCTGATATTGTGGGAGTGCATGAGGGGGCCCCCCCATGCATGCAGGGCTCGGCCTGGGACCCTGCAGCCCCAGCATGGAGCCAGGAGCCCCCGGGAGGCTCACTGCCCCTCGTCTCTGCCCTCCCAGAGCAGCATGCTGTGGACGAGCTGCTCCGAGCCTACGTGCAGCAGGTGGAGATCGACCAGCAGGTGATCATCTACCTGGAGATGACTCAGGTAGAGGGAGGGTGGGGTGGGACAGGGCTCGGGGTGTCTGAGCTGTGGCTTCTCCTCCCCCCGCTCAGATTAGGGTGGTGGCACTGAGAATGTGAGCGGCTGTCCTGGGTCAGAGCGATGTCCCAGCTGGCCAGTAGCCTGTCTCCTATGCTGGCCAGGGCCAGATGCTTCTAGCAGTTTTGGGGCATCTGGAGCATGCCGTGCTCAGTCCAGGTCTGCTGGGACTGCTGCCCAGGGCCTGCCCTCCCCAGCCAGGCTCCCGCTGCCCGGCTGCACTGCCTGCTGGGACGTGGAGCCACCTGGCCTCTGCCCTGGGGCCCCCAGCATGTTACCGCCTGGCCCTTGGCTTGGTGCCCAGAGCTGCGGCCTGATGGGGCGAGGGCCTGGCTGCCAAGACCCTTTGTGGGTCACAGGGCACCCAGCCCAGTGCCTGGAGCCCGTGGGATGTGGGTGGGGCCGGGGCCCCTTCCCTGCTCTCAGCCTGCTGCTCTCTCGCAGTTCCACAATGCCCAGCAGCTGGCCGCCTGGTGCCTGCACCACATCTGCACCAACTACAACAGTGTCTGCCGCCGCTTCCCCAGGGAGATGAAGTACATGGCACCAGGTACGGGCCGGGGGGCGCGGTGGGGAGGAGGCCAGGGGCTCAGGCTCCCCTCGCTGCCTGCGGGGTGCCGGCTGGCGTGGCAGGAGTGCCTGCATCCCTGCTCCTGCGCGAGGCCTCCTGGCTTCCCAGACTGGCATGGCACTCTGACGGGGGGAGGGGCTGTTCTTCCCACCCCCACCCCAGCCTGGCTGCTTCTCCCCTGGGCGGCCTGAATGAAAGGGCTGAGGGAACTGGGGATGTTTAGTCTGCGGAAGAGAAGAGTGAGGGGGGATTTATAGCAGCCTTCAACTACCTGCAGGGGGGTTCCAGAGAGGATGGAGCTCAGCTGTTCTCAGTGGTGGCAGATGACAGAACGAGGAGCAATGGTCTCAAGTTGCAGTGGGGGAGGTCTAGGTTGGAGATTAGGAAACACTTTTTCACACAGAGGGCGGTGAAGCCCTGGAATGGGTTACCTAGGGAGGTGGTGGAATTTCCTTCCTTAGAGGTTTTTAAGGCCCATCTTGACACAGCCCTGGCTGGGATGATTTAGTGGGGGTTGGTCCTGCTTTGAGCAGGGGGTTGGACAAGATGACCTCCTGAGGTCCCTTCCAACCCTAATCTTCTATCATGCCACCCAGTGGAAGACTAGCATGGCATCTCAGCTGGCCAATAGGAGCTGGAAGGTGCTAACCTCTTCTGGGTTGGGAGGGAAAGGAAGCTAAAACTCATCTTTCCCGTGCAGTAAGTCTGGTACGGTGCTGACCCCCAACTCCCAGAGGGCCCCTCTCTGTGCCTCTGGGTACCAGCCTGAGCCCCAGCTCCCAGCAGCCCCCCCAGATCTCAGGGTGGTCCAGTCTTCAAGATCCTGCTCCCCATGCCACATTCTGACCCCCCAGTTCCCCACTTTCTTGCTCATCCCAAAGGGAGGTGTCAGTGTAGAGAGTTGGGGATATTTCAGGAGTGAACCTTCCACTGTCACCACCCACTCTAGCTACTTCCAGCGTGCTGGGGTCTTTGCATTTTAACCCCCGCCCTCCTCCTGCCGAACAACCCACCTTCCCTGGCACTGAGGAGAGGAACATGAATATTGCAGGTGCTCAGTTTTGGGGTGGGGGGAGATCTGCCCTTCTGGAGCCCCTGTGTCACTGCCCCCCACCTGCAGCCTATTACCAGTGCGGCTCGCTCTGTACTCCTCTGGGTCCCTCCCCATTTCTGGGGCTCTGCAGTCACCAGGCTCCTTTCCTGTCCCTGGGCCTCCCCTGGGGCTGCTGACCCATTGTCCTAGGGGCGCCAGGGTGCTGTTTTCCCTCCGGCCGGCCCTGGCAGCCTTCCCCGGCCCAGGGAGGGAGCTCAGTGGTTGCAGAGCAGCTCCCTCTGCTCTGGGCGGGAGGCAGCGCTGGGGTTGCTGTGGGGGGGGGGACGGGGGGGGGACTGAGGCCTGGTGCAGTTGCCCTGGTCGCTGGGGGTTGCGGTGATGCTGGCTGCTCTGCAGTGTGATGGGGGGTCCTAGCCCCCTGCCAGCCGGGGGGTCGGGGCTGATGCCCTCCTGCCCCGCAGAGAACAAGGCGCACTTTGAGAGGCACCGCTGGCCGCCCGTCTGGTACCTGAAGGAGGAGGATCTGTACCTGCGCTCGAAGAAGGAGCGGGACCTGGAAGAGCAGCTGCTGCGGAAGCAGCGCACCCGCAGCACGTGGTGCTTCTGGCGCCCCTCGCCCCACGTCTCCTGAGCCCTGCCCGCGGGGGAGCTTGGCCCCAGGGCCATTCGGGTGGGGGAGCTGGGTAGGGCTGGGAGCTGGGTGCCCATGCCAGCCAGGGCCCCTCGTTCCCGCTTCCGTGGGCGCTGCAGCTGTCCCTGCCTGACTGCACCGGCGGGGCTCCTGGGCGCTGCAGCTGTCCCTGCCTGACTGCACCGGCGGGGCTCCTGGGCGCTGCAGCTGTCCCTGCCTGACTGCACCGGCGGGGCTCCTGGCCACTGCTGCCCTTAGTTTACATCTGTGGCTCTGCTGCAGCTTGGCGGTGCCTTCGTCCCATGGCCCTGCAGGGGCCCAAACCCAGCGCAGCTGGGGGCTGCGTGTGATCTATCAGGAGTGGGGGCTGCCTTCCTGACTCCACTGTGCTCTGGGGAGGGGCACCCAGCTGTGTGGGGGAGGCTGGCTTTGCCCTCCTTCCCTGATGGTGGGGGTGCTGCCGGGGCCCCCCAAGGGACCTCAGAGCAGCACTCTGACCCCTGCAGGATCCGGCCTGCATCTCCTCTCCCTGGTCCAGGCTCCCCCGAGGCCTCGGGCAGCAGAGCTGTGCAGTGGGGGTTGGCTCAGTGAGCTGAGTGGTGGGGAGCTGTGGGTGGCGGGGGGAGGGTGGGGAAGCGTGGGGGGAGGATTTCTCCCTGCCCCTGGGAGACCCCCAGAGTAGTGATGGGGGGCAGAGGTGTGTACTTGTGGGATGCAGCTGGGGCCAGAGCTGCAGTTGAGGGTCTGAGCTCTGGGGGTGCATGTGGGAGCTGGGTTTGGGCAGGAGATGTGTGTGTGTTTTTGGTAGTTGTAGAAGCTCCGCCCTTCCCCCTTTGTGCTTTGCCTGCTCTGGGGCCAGGGCAGCCCAGAGCCCCTGACCGGCTCCTCTCTGTGCCTTTGACACTACAAGCCTCTTCCCCAACTCACCCTGTCTCCTGGGAGGGGCTGGGTCCCTGTCGTCCTCCGGGAGGTGCCCTGAGCCTGGGCTATGGCCCCTCCCCTTTTTCTACACTATGGTGCATTAAGGGAACTGCCCAGTGCTGGCAGGGCTCCCCCTCCCTGGGGCTCCGCGAGCCACCTGCACAATGGTTTTTACACTTTTCTATGGATCCCGACTCCTGCCAGGCCTCACGGAGCACACCGTTCCCCTGCTGAGCCGTCACCTCACTCCGACGAAAGGGCTGTTTGTATCCACGTTTCTAACCACTGTGAGCTGGCCCAGCACTGCCCTTGCCCGCAGCCTGGCCTTTTTACACCTCGCAGTATTGGACTGTTTTAACCTTTAATAAAACCTTTTGTAATGTGCCTGGGGCTGCTTCTCTGGGGGTCCCAGGGGAGAGTGTGGGCTGCACTGCACGGGGAAATCAGCTCGGCTTAACTGCGCTGCTCCGGGTAGGGCTCGAGTGCGGCCTGGAGAGCCAGGGCCATGGGAGAATGGGGTCAGGGTGGATTAAGTGCAGGGCCGGAGGTCGTGGGACCCTGAAGTGCAGCCCCAGGTGGCTGAGAGCCTCTCTGTGTTTGGAGAGCTCAGGGCTGGGTGGGATGGGCTCCTGGGGGTGGCTTAGCTCCTGCTGTGGAAGCAGGCTGGCTCGGGCAAGGGGCAGGTTTTGCTGTGCCCTCTAGGCTTCCTGCACTAATGCCCTTAGGCTCAACCCCCCCCATTCGTGCTCATGAGCACTCAAGAAGTAGGTCGCTGCTAGGAGGGGAGACCTCTCAGAGGAGCCCACTAGCGTGTCTCTGACCCAGGGCTGAGCCAGGGGAGGGCCCTGACCCTACTGCTGAAGGCACTGTACCCAGCCGTTAGCCGGGGCCAGGTCCTCCTGCTCGGTGGTGGACAAACACAGCACTGTTATGGTCTCTTCCCCAAAGAGCTAGCAGGCTAGGGGCTCGTCTACACTACAGCTAGTGTCAGTGTTCCGCGGGGCGCGGTAGAGCCCCCTACTGAGCGATGTAAGTTACAGCGCGTGCAGTGCCACCGTGGATAGCGCTGTCCTGGTTCTCTGCCCACGTTTTGCCCTGCTGAGGGGAGAGCTCTCTTTTGCTGGCACCGTGGCCCAGCAGCCATGCTGCACAAGACAGATGGAGGCGTACAAGGAAACATTAATAGATTCTGTGGCTACGAGGGCCTACTCTGCTCAGTTAGTCTGACTGTACCAGGGGCCACAGACCTGCCTCACCCTAACTCCTGGAGCAGCTCTTCTAGACCATCCCGTCTTGCTGTGAAAAGTGCTGGTGATGGAGAATGCACCATGGTCTGGGGTGACTTGTTCTTCTCGTCAATTACACTTGGTAAATTTACGCCTTATTTCCAGTCTGAGTTTCATAGAATCATAGAATATAAGGGTTGGAAGGGACCCCAGAAGGTCATCTAGTCCAACCCCCTGCTCGAAGCAGGACCAATTCCCAGTTAAATCATCACCAATTCCCAGTTAAATCATCAGTTTGTCTTCAACTTCTAGCCCTTGGATCATGTTAGACTTTCCTCTGCTAGACTGACGGGCCTGTTCTCAAAGCTTTGCCCTGGTGTCACGCTGCATGTTCCCGCAGCTCCCAGTGGGCCATGGCGGTACGGTAGCAGTCAGATTACCGTACTTGCAGCTGCCCAAACTGCTGGAAGGTGCTGTGCTCCTTTCTCCGAATGGTGGGTCCTCCCCAGCAGCGGCTGCAGCGCGACTGACTGAAGTTCCTGCGTGGAGCTGGGCCACAGACGGGTTTCGGTGATGGCTGGGCTGGCGCAGTGGGCGGATGGGGCCTGGGTAACTGGATGTGCTCATACCAAAGCCTCCAGCGGCATCTCCTCTATGCCTCTCGGCACTACTGGCGGAGGCAGCCCAGCCAGGGGTGGGGCCATAGGCTGCAGCTTCTGCGTGGGCATGAAAACAGCTGCACGGAACCTGCCCTTGCAGGGGTAGGGGGAGCAGGAGCCAGGGCCATGAGGCTCTGGGCCAGGCTTCCTGGGGATGGGCCAAGCTGGGGCCTGGGCCTGATTCTCCATGCAGGGCTGGCCCCTTGCAAAGGGGATTGGAAACGTCTGCCTCCCTGAGCCCAGGCTGTGGCCACAGGCCCAGGGCAGGAGCCTGCAGCAGGCCGGGCTGCAGCCCGTTGCTCACCCTGTGCCAGGCTCCCGCCGGGTGGCACCCAGCCTTGCCGTTCCAGCCCCGGGGCTGGGCTGGGCGGATGCGTGGGGCCGGGCCGGGCTCAGGGGCCGGGCAGCGAGGCTCCCTCTAGCCCAGAGCAGAGCCAGCCGGGCCGGGGTCCGAGCCGCTGAGCGCCGGCAGCTTCCCCCGCAGGCCAGAGCCGAGCCGCGGTTCCGCCCGTGGGGGCCCGGCCGCAGGGAGCGGCGCGGGGGGCCCGGCCGCAGGGAGCGGCGCGCGGGGGGCCCAGCCGGGCGCGGACTGGGGGAGGCGGGCGCTGCAGCCGGCTCGGGCCCGGCTCACGAGGGGGCGCCGCGGGGCTTCTCCTGAGCCCCCGGGCCCGGACCAGGCTGCAGCCGGCCAAGGAGCTGCAGCGTCTGCGGCCCCGAGCCCCCAGGGGCGCCCCCCGTTCACACGTAGCGCGGGACCGGACTCACACCGCGCCCTGTCCGGCCCGGGCAGCCCCGCCTCCCGCAGGTCCCGGCTGGACCGGGCCGGACCGGACCGTGCACACGCGCGAGGCTGCCGGAGACACGACAAGGCGTGCTGGGCCCGGCCGGGAGCAGCGATTGGCTCAAAGGCCTGTCAGTCACTGGGGTTAACCCCTTCACTCCCCACAAAGGGTGGGGCCCGCCGTGGGAAGCTGGAGGGCCCTGCTGCAGGCCAGTGCGTGCGGGGGAGAGCAGGGAAGGGCCACGGCGCAGGATTGCAAGAAGCCCCCCCTGAGTCCACAGCCCGGAGCCCCCCCCGCACAGGAGACCAGTCCTGCGGCTCCGCCCAGTGAACAGAGCAGGGCAGTTACCCAGTGAGCCACCCCCGTCAACCCAGGCCCAGCCTCTGGCCCCCAGAGTCTAGATACCTTCCTGGAGGACAGGTCCATCAGTGGCTATTAGCCAGGATTAGCAGGGATGGGGTCCCTAGCCCCTGCTTACCAGACCCTGGGAATGGGCGATGGGATGGGTCACTTGGTGATGCCCTGTTCTCTTCATTCCCTCTGGGGCCCCTGGCCCTGGCGGTGGACAGGACACTGGGCTGGATGGACCCTTGGTCTGACCCAGCCTGGCCGCTCTTGTGTTCTTCTTCGAGTGAGCGTCCACGTCCATTCCAAGCAGGGGTGTGCGCGCACCGCCTGCACGGTCGTTGGAAACTTCTTTCCTCAGCAGCTCCCAGCGGGTAGGCGAGGGAGCCCCTGGAGCGGTGCCCTCATGGCGCTCAGTGCATGACCCTGCTGCCCTGACCCCCTTCAGTTCTTTCTTACTGTCCGTGGAGGTGCTGGAACTGTGTTTCGCTTGCTTGCAAGTGTTCCCTTGGCTACCACGGAGTCCGACCCAGCTTTGTTTTGTAGTTAGTTTATCGGTAGTTAGGACAGACTTGGTGAGTGGGTCATTCTCCCCTCACCCCGCCTTGGGCTTCAGGGCATGCCTCAAGCCCAGGGATTTAAATCTTGTAGTGTAGGCAAGAAGCCTATGCCCAGAGGTGTCTAAGGCAGTAATACTCAAAGTGGTGGTCCGCGGACTGGTGCCAGGCCGCGAGCCAGCGGCTGCTGGTCTGCGCAAACATTGGAAAGAAACTGCCGGTCCCCCACATCGGGTAGCTTGAGAAGCACTGGTCTCGGGGAGGCGCATAGTCTGAGCGCTGCAAGATCTGCAAGGCTTTCAAGCCCAGGACGAGGAAGGAACGTGACTTCCCTTTGAAGCAGCTGTTGATGGAAGTGGCACTCCGTCCAGCGGCACCCAACTGCCAAGGCCCAGGCCCGAGCTCAGTGCGGAGCACCCCAGCGTCGCTCTGCGAATCGGTACCGAGGAAGGACTCTGGGCTAGAGACCCTTGGTACCGGAGATCCCTGGCACAGCAGCAGAGAGCTGTGCCCCACAAGCACCATCAGAAGGCGAGCAGAGGGTGCTCTCCTCAGAGAGTGAGACCAGCGGGGGAGATTTTGCTGCCTCAGAGGAAGGACTCTACTTCCAAGCAGCAAGAGCTCGTGCCGCTGAGTCCAACACCCCAGTTGGCACCGCTGAGCCCAGCCTGCAGTGACTGTCTGGCGGGGCAGTACCTGGTGGAGGAGTTGGAGCCCTCCTCCACCCAACACCTTTGAGGCTGCGAAGGAACTTAGAGAGTACCACACCTCAGCCCCAGCCGTCAGAGAGAAGCCTCCAGCGCCGCTTGCAGCCGGCTCGGGCCCATCTAGAGGCAAGCCTGCGATGATGATGCTCTTTGTCACCGGACCAGCACCATTCCCGGTCTACATCACTGCAACACCCCCCGGCCCTGGCCTTGGTACAGGATTGCCTAGCCCAGGGAGTGCGAGAATCTGTGTCTCCGCGCCGAGGGGTCGGCCCCAATCGCTGTCACCCTCTCTTGGCCAGCACCAAGACACGGCACTGGAACACAGGAGCCGTTCTCCGGCATCTAACCCTAACCTAATCCCTAACATGGGCCTACAGGTGGAGGAAGTCATCAAGTCAGAGGACCCAGTGGTAGACATTCTGGAGTGACGTTGCTGGTCACTAAAACTGTTTACAACAATTATAATACTGTGTGGCAGACTCCAGCCCGCATTCTGCCCACTGCCAGGAGTGTGGAGAGAAAATACTTTGTTCCCTCCAAGGGATATGAGTTCTTATTCTCCCACCCACACCCTTGCTCCCTGGTGGTCTCGGCCGTAAATGAGAAGGAGCACCGGGCCAGCAGGCACTGGCTCCTAAGGCTAAAGAAGCCAAACGTATGGATCTCTTTGGCAGAAAAGTATGCTGCGGGGGGGTGTGACAAAGCAGGACTGTTCTTAATGTTTCCTCTGAATAGTGTGGGGGTGCCTCAGTTTCCCCTAGGCAGTTCTTAAGTATCTAGGGGGGTGGGATAAGGGTGTATGATCGTTGCAGAGCCCTAGAGGGCAGGTGTGTGCAGGGGTCTGGACACAGAGAATGGCCAACACCCTGTTTCCTGGCAACTGATGGCCTGGGCCCTTCCCCCCTGCAAGGTGAGAGCTAAAGGGTTGGAGAACAAAGGAATCCGGTGACCTCCTGGCCCGGGAAAGGGACAAAGCCCAGAGGAGGAGGGGCTGGAGGGGGAGTCAGTTTTGGGGCTGGCTGGAGACATGGAGTGAAGTGGAGACGGGGTTGTCTGGCTCACTGCCCCCCCAAAATTGACCCAGCTGAGGGGTCCTGTTCTCTGAACCTACAAGCTCTGTTTCAGACCATGTTCCTCTCATCTAATAAACCTTCTGTTTTACTGGCTGGCTGAGAGTCACGTCTGACTGCAAAGTTGGGGGGCAGGACCCTCTGGCTTCTCTAGGACCCCGTCTGGGCGGACTCGCTGTGGGAAGCGCATGGAGGGGCAGAGGATGCCGAATGCTCTGAGGTCAGGCCCAGGAAGGTGTGAGCTGTGTGTGCTGTGTGTCTTGCAGACAGGCTGCTCCCCGAGAGGAGACTGCCCCAGAGTCCTGCCTGGCTTCGTAGGGAGCAGTTCCAGGGCATCACCCGGGGACTCCATGACAGGGGGGCCTACAGCTGATGATAGCTAACCAACAAGCTATCCTCAGCAGGTAAAACTTTAACTTGTGGAACTATGCCCAAATACAAGGAGTTGCTCCCCACTGAGTCAAAGGCTGAGTTCTCGGCTCTGGTCAGGAGGGGAAGGCAGTAGCCAGGGCATCCCTGCAGGCCTCCCTCGACTTGGCTGACTCTGCGGCATGTACCTCCTCAGGGGTAGTCATGAGGAGAACCGCTTTGCTCCAAGTGTCCGGGCTTCCCCCAGAAGTTCAGTAGACCCTGCAGGATCTTCCCTTTGAGGGTGCAGGGCTGTTTTCGGACCAGACCGACTCGAGGCTCCACAGCCTAAAGGACTTAAGGGCAACTATGAAATCTCTGGGGATGCACACTCCTGCTACCCAGAGAAAACCCTTCAAGCCTCAACCCCAACAGCAGCAGAAGCCTCGCCCAAGGCAGGATACATAGCGCCATAGGGGCAGGAATAATAGACGTAGACCTTCCAACCCTCCCTCAGGCTAAGGGCAGGGCCCGACCAAGCCATTGTCGGGCTCCAAGGAAGGGTTTTGAAGGGACGCCCGAAGACGGCATACCAGGCACTATCCTGGATCTTTCCCCCCCGCTTTCTGAACCATCTATCCCACTTCTACTGTGTGTGGTCTCATATAAAATCAGACCCCTGGGTTCTTCACACAGTAGAAGTGGGATATTCTCTCCAATTCTGCTCCTCCCCTCCCTCCCACCTCCCTTTTCCCCTCCCTCTTCAGGGATCCCTCTCATGAGTAACTCCTTATCCAGGAGGTGCAGGCACGCCTCGCCCCGGGAGCGGAAGAGGAGGAGGTTCCTCAGGAGCTTAGGGGCAAGGGATTCTATTCCTGATACTTCCTAATCCCCAAAGCCAAGGGGGGGTCTCAGACCCACCTTAGACCTGCGAGGACTCAACGAGTTCATGGTGAAGTTCAAATTCCACTGGTCTCCCTGAGCACAATTATCCCTTCCCTGGATCTGGGGGACTGGTACGCTGCCCTCGACATGAAAGACACGTACCTCCACATAGCCATCTGGCCTCCTCACCACACTTCCTGAGGTTTGTTGTCAACCGCATATATCATCAGTTCACGGTGCTCCCATTCGGGTTATCAACAGCCCCTGGGGTGTTCACCAAGTGCATGTGCGTGGTCGCGGCCTTTCTCCGCAAGAGGCAGGTGTATCTCTACCTTGACAACTGGCTGCTGCGGGGGCGCTCTGCGGAGCAGGTGGAGTCCCAGGTCTGGTTAGTCAGAGACACCTTCCAGAGACTAGGTCTCCTCCTCAATGTGGACAAGTCAATGTTGTCACCCACCCAACAAATAGAATTCATCGGGGCAGCGCTGGACTTGGTTCAGGCAAGAGCTATCCTGCCAGAGCCCAGATTCCAAACACTGTCACACATCATTCAGGTGCTCAGACGATACCCCACCACAACCACGAGGACAGGCCTCAGCCTCCTGGGACACATGGCGGCATGCACCTATGTGGCCAGGCACACCAGGCTGAGTGTCAGGCCAGTCCAGGCGTGGCTCGCTTCAGCTTATCAGCCGGGTTGAGACAGTTTAGACTCGGTAGTAACGATACCGATGCGAGTCTTAGATACCCTAGGCTGGTGGTTGGACCCTCACATGGTCTGCGAAGGAGTCCCATTCACCACCCCTCAACCATCCATGACCTTAGTAATAGACGCGGCAGACCTGGGTTGGGAGGGCCCACCTAGGACACTTACAGACCCAGGGCATGTGGTCGCAGTCCGAGATCCTGCTCCATATCAATATAAAGGAGCTCAGAGTGAGGAGACTGAACTGCCAGACCTTCCATACGATATTGCGAGGTCACTGCGTGGCGGTGTTGACCGACAACACCACCGCCATGTTTTACATAAACAAGCAGGGTGGAGTCCACTCCTCCCCTCTCTGTCAGCAGGCTCTCCAGCTGTGGGAGTTTTGTGTAGCTCGCTCCATCCACCTAGAGGCATCCCGTCTCCCGGGAGCACGCAACAAGCTTGCGGACCACCTCAGCCAGTTGTTCCGCAGTCATGAGTGGGCCATCCGGCTGGACGCCATAAACGACATCTTCCAAAGGTGGGGGTTTTCCTGGGTAGACCTATTTGCCATCAGGAGCAACAGGAAGTGTCCACTGTTTCACGCCTTCCAAACACACAACCCAGGATCAATCTCGGATGCGTTCATGATGCACTGGGGGAACCATCTACTGTATGTCTTCTCTCCGATACCACTCCTCAACAAGGTTCTCCTCAAGATCTGCAGGGATAAGGCGGAGGTAATTCTGCTGGCTCCTGCATGGCCACACCAACGTTGATACACTATGCTGTCAATGGACACCCCGATCGTGCTGCCACTCCTCCCCGTTCGGATTACACAGGACCTTCACGCGGACCTCCAGTCTCTCCATCTCATGGCTTGGAAGCTTCATGGTTAAACCCAATGGAGCTCCAATGCACGGAATCGGTGAGGGAGGTGCTGGTTGGTAGCAAGAAACCTTCCACTAGGGCCACTTACCTGGCCAAATTGAAAAGGCTCTCAGGCTGGTGCGATCACAGTAGCGTATCCCCACTTCAGGCAACTATACCATTCATCCTAGACTATCTACTGCATCTGAAGCAACAAGGCCTGGCCGGATCATCCATCAGGGTACACCTCATGGCCATCCCAGTGTTCCACCTGGGAGAGTTGGGGCGCTCCGTATTCGTCAACCCTATGGTAGGCTGTTTCCTTAAGAGCATGGAACGGCTATACCCTCAGTCTCGCCCACCGGTACCAGCTTGGAACCTCAACCTGGTCGTAGCTAGGCTTATGGGAGCCCCATTCGAGCCACTGGCTACATATTCCCTTCTGTATCTCTCTGGTTGCCTTCACATTGGCCATGAGAGTGTTGGAGTTAAAAGCGTTAACCTCCAACCCCCTCTCACACAGCCTTCCACAAGGATGAGGTACAGCTGAGGCCGCACCCAGCCTTCCTGCCCAAGGTGGTATCCCAATTCCACAGCGGCCAGGACATTTTTCTATGTTTTCTATCCCAAGCCACATGCTAATGCACAGGAGCAGAGGTTTCACTCACCCGATGTGCAGAGTGTGCTAGCATTCTACATTGAGCGCACAAAGCCTTTCAGGAAGTCGAACCAGCTGTTTGTGGCGGTGGTGGATCAGATGAAAGGGCTTCCGGTCTCACAACACAGTTCTTCCTGGATTACAGACTGCATCTGTGCCTGCTATGACCTTGCCAAGGTTCTAGCCCCGGCTATAACGGCCCACTCGACACTAGCTCAAGCCTCGTCCACAGATTTCCTGGCCCAGGTGCCCATCCAGGAGATCTGCAGAGCGGCGACCCGGTCCTCGGTGCATACCTTTCCCCCCCACTATGCCAGCACCCAGCATGCTAGAGACGATGCAGCTCTCAGGTAGAGCAGTGCTCCGATCAGCGATTCCTTAACTCCAAACCCACCCCCATGGGAGAGCTTGGGAGTCAGCTGATTGGAAGCGACGTGAACAATCACTTGAAGAAGAAAAGACGGTTACTCGCCTTCTCGTAACTGTTGTTCTTCGAGATGCGTTGTTCACGTCCATTCCAAACCCACCCTCCTTCCCCTCTGTCAGAGTAGCCGGCAAGAAGGAACCAAAGTGGGGTCGGGTTGGTGGGTCATATATCGAGCGCCAAGAAGGTGCCACTCCAGGGGGCTCTATAGCTGACCTGACAGGAGCTGCTGAGGGGGAAAGTTCCTGACTGTGTTCGTGGTGTGCGCACACCTGATTGGAATGGACGTGAACACCACCTCTCGAAGAACAACAGTTACAAGAAGGTGAGTAAACCGTCTTTTCTCATGCGTCGCTGAGAGTCTTGGCTAACAGCCAGCAATGGACCTAGCCTCCAGTAATTTATCTAGTTCTTTTTTGAGCCCTGTTATACTTGTGGCCTTCACAGCATCCCCTGGCAAGGAGTTCCACTGCAGCGAGAGGAAAGACCCCTCCGCTTCCCAACCTACCCCCAAAGCCTGTCAACCTTCTCCTGCAGGCTCCCCCACCTTCGCCCCAGAGGCCCTCCCCCGCCAATAAATGAGCTCAGGCACTCGAGGAGGGAGGGTTCAAGCTGATTTATGGCAGCAGCCGCGCGCCCTGGGCTCCAGAGTGAACCTGTGTCAAGGGCCCTATGCCCCAGCTCCCCTGCATGTGCTGCAGGGCCAAGCCCAGCAGAAGGATGATGGAGCCCAGGGCCCAGACAACGCATGGGCCCAGGGGCAGTTTCGGGAGGGGTGAGGGTTTCAAAGCCTCATGCCAGCAGGGCTAGGTTGGAGGAGAGACAGCAAGTTTCACTTCTCCTCCAGCATTCTACATGCACCCACTGGTGAAATGCAGCCACCTCTGGGGTGAGCACTGGCAGCTGTTTAACAGCACACACACACAAACGCTACACGGTCAAAGCATGCTGCGTTTAACACACTACAGGGGCTATGGGGCGCTGAACAGGAGTAATCAGAGCTAGGACTTAGCCCAGACAGCGGGGTTAACCCCCTATTTCAGCACTGTACCTAATTAGGTCTATTGGTACTACAGTCAAGGACCCCAAAGGCTAGCGGCAGGCCGAGGGCCCCACCGTGTGTCCAGCTGCAGGGCCGGCGCGGCCCATGAGCAGCGGAGGAAGGGAAATATCATGCACTTTTCCCGACTGCAGGAGAATGCCGGCCTCTCGGGCCAGCCAGGGGCCTCTGTGCTGCTTGCCGGCTTCCCTGGTTTTCTGAGACAAACTGCCCCGCAGGAGGGGCCCCTGCCCTTATTGACAAGTATTTCTACACACAGCCTCAAACACTCTGTCACCTGAGAGCCTTCCTGGCAGGCTGGGGCAGCAGGGGCTGCAGGCTGGGGCAGCAGGGGCTGTAGCCTGTGCCCAAAGGGGCATATCACCACCCCCTTGGAGAGGGGCTACATATAGCCCCTGCCTCCCCTCAGCCAGGCCATACCAGCTCCAGTCTCCTCCCTGCAGCTCTTCAGGGGGCAGTATCTGGGGCTGAGAGCCAGAGCGAAGCCTGGGGCAGGGTGCATGCAGGGACAATCCAGCCCGTGAGGGGCTCCTAGGGGGAGCCTGCCTCCTGCAGCTTCCTTGCCCTGGGGGAGGCTGCAGTGGGAGCTGAGCGCAGCAGCTGATCCCATGTCAGTCCAGGGCAGTCAACAGATGCGCCCTGCCTGTCCCCAGCTGGGCGGTTACTGAGATGGCACCCCCTCTAGGCAGCTGAGGGCACAGTTGGGGGGAGGGATAGCTCAGTGGTTTGAGCATTGGCCTGCTAAACCCAGGGTTGTGAGTTCAATCCTTGAGGGGGCCATTTAGGGATCTGGGGCAACTATGGGGGATTGGTCCTGCTTTGAGCAGGGGGTTGGACTAGCTGACCTCCTGAGGTCCCTTCCAACCCTGAGATTCTATGAAAACCACATCTGTTCAGCTAATGGTATTAGCTCTGATCTAGCACTTTCCAGCTGTAGGTCTCACCATGCTTGACACAGGAAGGTAGCGTGGTTGTCCCCATTTTACAAATGGGGAAACTGAGGCACAGAGCACCATCTTGCCCAAGGTCATGCAGCAGAGCCAGGAACAGACCCAGGTCTCCTGAGTCCCAGTCAAGTGCTGTGTGTTCTCGGACATGCTGCCTCTCATGCTGCCAGCCACATTCAGTGCCGACTGCTCCGAGCTTGGGGCCTGCTCAGAAGCTGTGCAATGCCCCAGTAGCATCAGGGACTTTGACACAGACATGGAGCTGTGCCGAGACTGAAGTGAGATTATGGCCCCGGGGATGCTACAGTGACCTGGAGAGCAGAGTGGTGAGACTGCCCCGGGCGTCCTAGGGCACAGACCCAGCTGCTGTGCAGAGGCCCTGGGTCTGTGCCTCAGCAAGAGCTCTCTGCAGCCCGAGTTCAGAGGAGGAAAGGAGCTGGGTGGGCCCCACAGGACCAGGGATTCATTTGCCCCTGCCTCAGAATGAAGGATGACACCTCCTCAGCTACTGTACCCCTACCCCACAAATCAGGGCCTGCCTGGGGGGAGGCCCAGCTCTGCACTTCGCCAGGCTCTGGTCTCCATACAGGAGCAGAGGGGATCACAGCCTGCAGGGGCCTTGGGCAAGGGGCGCAGCATGACAGAGCAGCCACAGGCAGGTGACAGCAGCTGCCTGCCCCTAGGGAAGAAACAGCATGGACATGGGGGCGGGGGGGGGCAATGAGCAGCCAGGGGGGGTGAGCAGTTGTCTGGCCAAAGAGACTCTGAAGTTTGAAGAGATCTGGGCTCCATTTAGTCACTGCAGCGCCACCCCCTGTTCTTTGTGCATGTCCCCCCATGTCAATGGCGGATCTCCCCCAGAGCAGAGGGGGTTCCCACCCAGCTCTGGACGATTCAGCTCCCCCCACTATGTCTGCTCTCCACCCAGGTGGGGGCATCCTCAGCCACATGCTGCTGCCCCAGCCCCTGTAAACAGGAGCCTGGGGTCTCTGCACAGAGGCCCGGAGTCACAGCTGCAGTGCCCCATTAGCGGGGGGGGCTGGAACATGCTGCAGCAGCACAGTGCCTGCAGGTACCTCCCTGCCCCCCTCATGGGAACCACCTGCCCGGCGCTCAAAGCCCCCCTGCGGCGGGGCAGCCTAGACCTGGCCATAGCGGACGATCTCGCTGAGGTCGTAGCCGGTCGCAGCGAAGGAGTTTCCCTCGGGGTCACAGAAGCGGGCGCCGCAGAGCTGGGTGTCAGGCACGCACTCCGAGTGGCAGTGCTCGATCTGCAGGGGGCAGGAGAGAGCACCCTTGGACCACGCAGCCCAGCCGGGCCCCGGGGACTAGACAGGCTTCCCCGCAGCAGCCTCGCCTGGACTCCCGCACTCCCCCAGGGGGATGGGCACGAGGCCCCCTCGCGTGCAGGCGCCCCCTGCAGGCTGCAGCAAGAGGACACGGACGTGTTTCGTCTGAACGTTGGGGGCTGGATACAAGAACCATGCTTGGGGTCTCTCTCCCCTCCCCAGCATCCAGCCCCTCCCTTGCTGCAACACCAGCCCCAGGCCTGGGGCAGCGCCAAGGGAAAGGGAGGCAAAGCATGGCCTCCCCAGGCTGCCAGCCAGTTGGCTCAGAGGGATTTCAGTGGGGAGGAGGATGTGGTCAGTGGAAGAGGGGGAGAGCAGGGGCAGACAGAGCAGCTATGGGCAGCTGACAGAGGTGCAGGCTGGGGGCAGGGGTAGCAGGGCGGGCCCAGTGGAGGGAAGAGGAGATCACACTCAGCACCTCAGTGACAGAACTGGAATAGCACAAGGGGTGTGGTCACGCCAGGGCCCATGGAGTTATGGGAGCCCCACTGAGGGGCTGCCGGGAGAGTACGACAAGCTGGCCCCATGGGGCAGGAGGGTGGCTGGGATAAGGGGGCCCCTCTGGCACCAGCAATTGGCAAAGAGGTGCAGAGGTGTGGGGAATCGTAGTGTGGGGGAACATGCAGGGGAGTGGGGGGGTTCTAGATGTGGGTCAGACAGCCCCCCCAGAGACAGAGGGCAAGGTAAAAGCATTGGCTGTTTTGTGTGCAGCATGGAAGTGTGGGGAATTTGGGAGGGTTGGGGGAGGGGGAGCTAGATCAAAACTGGGTGGAGCTGTTGAGGGTGGGGGATGGGGATTGGAGGGCAGCTTGGGGAGTTTGGATCAGAGCCAGGAGGATAGGGGAGTGGGCAGGGGTTAGTGCAGAGCTGGAGGAGACTAGTGGGGACCTCTGAACCACAGCTGGGGGGTGGATCAGAGCAGTGGGGGCAGGAGGGGAGCTAAAAGCCCTGGAGGGGTGCATGGATTGAGGGAACTAGGCAGGGGCAGTGGTGAGCTGGACTGAGGCTGTGAGGGAGGTGGCTTTTGGAATCAGGAAGGGGGCCTAGGCCCCTCACCTATTCTTGCCCCAGGATCCTCTGTGGCCTTTTTGCTCCACTAGACCACCTAGTCCCAGCTCAGCCTCACAGCTCCTTGTGGCAGTGGTGGAATTTCACAGGGGGGAAACTGAGGCACAACGGAGCAGTGACTGGCTGAAGGTTGCACTGAGAGTCCGTAGCAGAGCCAGGACTGGAACAGAGGAGCTCCTGGCTCTCAGCCCCATGCTCAGATCATTAGACCCCACGGTTCTCTGCAGGGGTGTGTGGACATCACAGCACTGGCCCCTCACCTCAATGTCCCCGGTGTCTGGGCTCCGGCTGAGTTTCCAGATCTGGACATAGGAATCCTCGGCACCCGACAGCAGCTGCAGTGGGAGGCAGAACAGAGGCGGTGAGGGGGGCTGCAGGCTCCCGGGGTGGCTGGGGGGCTCTGAGCTCGGGCCCACTGTGCAGGGAGCAGAGCCTCCCAGCACAGGTGAAGCCTGCTGCATGCAGCAGCTGAGGCAGTTCTATTCCTTGGCCCACTGGCTCTGGGGCTGGGGCCTCTCTCCCTGGGGCAGGACAGCAGGCACCACCTGGGGCAGAGGGCAGCAGAATGCAATGGTATGTGTGTGCCCCCTGCTGGCTAGTGTGGGAGCTGCAGCTCGTCCCAGCCAGAGCGGAGGATTCAGGCAGGCAGGCAGAGGAGATGAGCCAGGCTGGGTTCAGAAGGCTGGCTGGCAGGCAGGGGGCGCTGTGCAGCTGGGGGACTGCCTGGGAGGCCTTGGGCAGGTTTACCTTCCCCGTCAGGGGTGCCAGGTCCAGGGCATAGATCCAGCGAGCATGGGCGCTGACTGTGGCACGAAGGGCCCCGCTCGAGGCCTCGTACAGCCGGATCTGTCCATTCCCATAGCCAGCAGCAATGACCCCGTTCCACAGCTTCACCGAGGAGCAGGTCCACCTGGGCACAAAGGAGACGCGTCAGCCACACTTGCTCCACTTGGTGGGGGGGCGGGGTAGTTCTGGGCTTCCCCCTCCCCCCCAACACACTGTCCCCACTGCATCAGAGTGACCTCTCTGCAGGTATTCCTCCCCCATCACCTGGGGCCCACCTCTAGCAGGGCCCAGGGGGAGGACGCTGGGCTCATCTCACTGCCCCAAGGAGCTGTGGGAGCCCCCTGCCCGGCCTTACCCAAAGGCAGAGATTTTGGTGAGCAGGGAGAACTCCTCCTTGGACCTCCAGACACACAGAGCCCCGGAGTCATCCGCAGTCACCAGGTCAGCAGCCCCACCCTGCAACGGGAGGAGACCATCAGTGCCGTGCCATGGGACCCCTCTCAGCCAATCGGAGCACGGGGAAGTCAGCAATTAGGAAGGATAGAATCATAGAATATCAGGGTTGGAAGGGACCCCAGAAGGTCATCTAGTCCAACCCCCTGCTCAAAGCAGGACCATACTACAGGATACTACAGAGTAATCAGTCACCAAATAGCTCTTTCCCAGAAGTGCAGTAAAGTTGCTTTACAACCTACTCTCCTCAGCCAATGAGCTCCCAGAAAACGGACACTGACCTGTCCTTCTCCAAATAACTAATGAGCTGGTGCACGTTGCTGTCCTCTAGTGGGTGGACTGAGAACTGTTCAGCTGTGTGTCACCTCCCCTATCGTGCGAACAGCGAATGGAGACTCTCCTTTGGTTCCAGTGGGCAGGGCCTGGGCTTTAGGAGTGCGAGGATCTGAGGGGTGCTGTGTTATGCAGCATAGGGACACCCACGTGCCAGGTGACTGTGGATTTGAGCCGTCTCTTGCTCTTTCATCCCAAAGGGTTTTACTGGCTGCTGTCTCTGGAATGAACAATGGCCCCAGTGGGAACATGTGAGGCGAGACAGGGATGCGGGGAGCTCTGGTTAAGGGTGATGAGGGAGACACACTGAGGGAGTGGATACAGTCCGACCTCGCTAATAAATGGCCTTGAGTCCAGGGAGGCTTTCATATCCCCAGCTGGCTGAGAGACCGGTGCTGGCACAGGGCTCAGGCTAAGTAGCTGACTAAAGTGCTGTATCCATCGATGTAATTGTTCCAATGTCTTTATTGTTAAGCTGTCCTCATTGTCTTGAGCTGGTCAGTTGCTATTGTTATTTTCCTGCTGACAACTGTCTAACGATGGACAGTGTCTTCATGTCGTTTAATGCTGTGAACCTGTTTGTCTTTCCCAGCACTCTTTTCGCTCTCTTTGTTCTTTATGGCACGTTCCTCCTGGAGTCGCTTGTTCTTGTTTCAGTTTAGTTTTGTGTTTCTCTCCTATTTTCTGCTATGTCTCCTCCAATAACGGTTTGTTGGGATGATTCTTCCCGAATCCCAGCACTGCAAAGGTTTTGGTGAAAGTTTCCTTTAGCTGTTTCCATTTGCCGTCTACCATTCCCTCATCTTCAAACATCCAGTATCTATTTGCTAGCACAATTCTAAACTCTTGTTGTGTTGTCATCTGTTTTAGCTTGGTGATGGCAGCCATTGAATGGTGAGCCGGTGGCCAATCCCCTAGCTAGAGAGGAGGAGATCTGGGCATGGAACGAGGACCTCTCCCCAGAGCAGAAGCAGAGAGGGCTGTCAATTGATTAAAAAGCAGAAAAGCAACAGATCTAGATAACTTTCCAAAGGAGGATCTTACAGCAGGTGTGAAGAACACAGCAGCCGTTTTGATAGCCTCTTACAAAAGAGATGGGCAAATACCAAATGAATGGGAAAAGGGTTCTATGGTGAACGTGTTCAAGAAAGGAAACCTCAATCAGTGTAAAAACCAGAGGGGCAGCCTGCATTCAATTGTTGTGTATCCCAAGTGAGGTGTTCAAATGTACTATTCTAGACAGAGTAAAGAAAGGGGTAGATTCAAGGTTATGACAAGAACAGGCAGGGTTTGGACAGGAGAAATCATGTATGATCCAATAGTAATTTTACATATCATCACAGAACTGCTGATTGAATGGCAGTCACCACTTCATATGAATGGTGTGGATTTCCAAAAATCCACACCATTTGATGCCGTGGATAAAACAGGTTTATGAAAGCTGCTATGCCACTATGGAAAGCCTCAGAAATTTGTGAGCATCATTCAGAGTGTCTATGAAAATATGACCTGCCAGGCAATACATGACAGTGAACTGACTAAACCATTCAAAGTTACTATGGGCATCAGGCAAGGATGCTTTGTGTCACCTGTGATCTTTTTACTGGTAGTGAATTGGGTAATGAGAGACCACAGAACAACCAAGGGGGAGACAATGGACTTTCACACAGAAGTCAGAGGACCTTGATCTTGCAGATAACCTTAACTTGCTATCCTGCACCCATAGAGACATGCAAGCTAAAATAAATAATCTCTAGGCCTGTGCACAATTAGGAGGGTTGAAAATCAACACCGAGAAAACTCAAACCATGAGAATCGACACACAACAAGAAACACCAACACTACTTTCTGGGACCGACATGGGAGAGAGGTCCGATATTTCATGTATCTTGGCAGCACTGCAAGTAGAAGAGGTGGAGCAGACAAAGACATTACAGCCAGAATAGCAAGAGCCAGAGTGGCCTTTGTATCTCTAAGGCTGATCTGGAGAAACAGAAATCTTGCCTCCAAACTAAATTTTGAATATTTAACATCATTGTAAAGTTGGTCTTACTATATGGCACTGAAACCTGGAGACATATTAAGATCTTACTATCTGAACTCCAAGTTCTCAGTTGCCTTAGACAAAACCCTCTATCAGATAGCCAGAAAAAATCACGAACAAAGAACTCTGGAGGAGGACGAAACAAAAACTAACAAAAATGGAGTTGGCTTGGACATTCATGGAGCAAGGACCTGCATAATGTAACAAGAGAGGCACTGAACTGGAACCCCTAGGGCAAAAGGCAACGAGGTAGCCCAAGGATAACAGAAGCAGAATTGAAAACTATTCAAGTGATATGAAAAAAAGCTAACATTGTGGCAGGAGACTGGCAAGGAAGGACAGCTGTGGTGAAGGCCCTATGCTCCACATGGACTAGAGAGGCATAAGAGAACAGAGAGTAGGGTTTGAGCCACCTACTGTACCCATCCTGCAGGGACTATACCAGCCCTGGGAGGGATCAACGAGCTCTGTCTTTGCTGTGGCTGGGTGGGAGTGAGGCGTCTTTACAGACCTCTGGTGCACAGTAAGGTCCACCCTGGCCGCTGGAAAGCCTCGGCGCAAAAGGTATTGGTCTGGGCTCTCCCAGGAAGGGCTCTGACATCATCAGTGTCCAGGCAGAGCAGGTGGGGCCTCAGCTCTGAGTCTCCCCCAGTGGGAAGCACATGGGGGAGAGGAAGGGCCGACAGACTGGTTTCAAGTTGGCTGTAGGCATCCCCCAAGGAAGGAGGGGCCCAACTAGCTGCTCTGGCATTTTGCAACCCGGCTGTAAGCCATGTGGCCTGGCCTGGGCAGCCATCCATTCGTGCTGAGCCTGGGATAGGAGCTGTGCGCGGTGCCGGGGGCTCCATACCAGGTTCTCCCCGACCTCCGAGGCGATGTCAGTGATGGAGTCGCGATGCTCCTCCAGAACTTCGCTCAGTGTGATGTTTGTTCCCTTGCTGGGGATGTCAAACACCAGCACCAGTCCCGATGAAGTCCCTGTGAACAAGCAAAGGAGATGTCACTGGCAGTCAGTTATCAGACCCCGACCCACTCTGCTCTAGGAACCAGCTTCCTGGTCTTCCCGCCTCTGGGAACCAGTCTCCACACTCCCCACCCCTAACCAGGTCCTCAGCCCTCACCTCAATAACTCCTTCAGCTTCAGGAGCCTGAATAGACCCTTCTTCCCATTCCCCACACACTCCACTCCCATCCTCCTGGGCCCAAGTGTCCCTAGTGCAGCACATCCACAGCCCAGCCCCCTCACCCAGCTGCTGTATGCAGCCCCTCTGCTTCCCCGCTAATCCCAGACCTCTCCTCCCCTGACCACCTGGCCTCAGCCCTACCATGCAGAAGATTAGGTGCCCAGTTGCTGCACCTGTAGATACCAGAGATCCTATTCCTTGCCCCTCACTCCCTTTCCCAGCCTCCAGTTTCCCTACCCCGCTCACCCACACAGATGAAGCGCCCACTGGCTGCAGCAATCCCTCGAGCAAACACTGCCTGGGCTGGAAGGAAATGAAAGCCCCATTACACCCCTGCAGCAGCTCCTACCCCAAAGCTCGATGGAGACCCCAGGCCACAAGGGGGATACTTTGAAATCAGGGCCACAAGGTATGAGGGATCCAGACACCCTGATTTAAGGCCAGATCACAGAGAAACTACGCATCGTCCAGCCAGAAGGGAACACTGGGGTCACCTTGTCTGATCTCCTGCACGACATGGGCAATAGACATCCTGGAATTAATTCCTAAATAAAACATCCTCCCTTCTGCTGGATCCCTGGGCCAGAACCCCCCATGGGCTATTGGCTCCTGGGGTGGAGGAAGCCAAACTGTGCTACACAAAATCCATGACCATGGTTCATCCTGCCCTTCCAAGGTAGTTGTTGGCAGGAGGGAGAGCTCTGCAGAGCCCTCCTCCCGAGGCTCCTACTGCATCACTGCCCCCAGCTGGGATCTATCTTTACCTGGCGGTGGTTCCAAGACATCCAGGGCATGCCAGTAAACCATGATGGAGCCATCTGACTCATACATCTGGGGAGTGAAAACACCTGGTCAGCTCGCAGCAGAGTCACTTCCGGGTGGGGTCGATGAGCCTGAAGCCATCAGGAGAAACCCCGAGTGCTGCCCCCACAAAGCTTTCCAGAGATGGGGGAGGCACCCCTGTGACCTGGGGCCCTCAAAGTCCCTGACACAAGGACCTCCAGAAGGCACCTTGTAACAGGTAGCTGCCAAGATGGGCCAGGAGGCCTGGGGCTAGTCAGCCCTGTTCAACTAGCCGCATCTGTGCGGGGGCATGGGAAGAGTTTTTACAGGGGGAGTGCTGAAAGCCAGTGAACAACACTCTAAACCCAGACGTGATGGGAGCTAGGTGTTTGGTTGCTATTATTGCTTCAAGCCAGGGGCCACACCCATAGCTCCAGCACCCCGTGCCTGTGCCATAATTAGATGGCTGGACTACTTGGGCTGACAGCCTGAATCCCCTGAGCCTTATAAGAGGGCAGAGAGAACACAGTTTGATCGAGGATTGACAGGCAAGGGCAAGCTGTGTCCCTGACGAAGGAGTGCAGGGAAGCAGTGCTCTATCTCAGAACGAGGAGATTAGAGAAAACTGAGAAGGGACAGGGAACTGAGCCTGAAGGCTGGGCTGAAGAGGAGCCCAAGTGGGATGGAAAAAAATCTTTTGTTTGTTTGGGACTTTTGTTACCCTGGAAGGGAACTGCACTGTGAGAATGACCCAGCTGGAGGCCTGAGCCATGTGAAATGCTGGGAGAGACAGAAAACCCTGGTGAAGGGAAACTGAGGCAGGAAGTGCCTGCAGAGCCAGACTTCCCCAGCAGAGGGTACTATGGGGCAGTCATGCCCTATGACATGCCTCCATTGACCTTCCTGCAGCTCAGAAGACTGGCCTTGTTCAGACAGAGCTCTCCACCACAGGCCCTGCCCACTCCCTTCCCAGAGCCTAGAAAAGGAAGCACTCTTACCTGGATGCCTTTCTGAGAGGTCAGGACCAGGAGAACTCGAGAGGGCAGGACACACCAGGAGGCCTGAAAGGGAAAGGAATTGTTGCAGCCAACACGGGGTAATTCTATATTATACCTTATCCTAACAGCTAAAGAGGAACTGATCACAGAACTACAAGTTAATGGTAGCTTATGCACAAATGATCATGACTTGATCCCATTTATAATGTACAAACAGAATAAAGTCCAGACCAGTAATAGATATACTTGGTGCTTTAATAAGGCCAATTTCACAAAGCTGAAAATGATTATGGGCCAAATCAGCTGGGAGGAAGAATTTAACCCAAAAAGTGTGAATGATGATTGAGAATCATTTAAGAACACCTTACTAGATGCCCAAAAGCCACACTTGAGGAAGAAGGCTGTGCTGGTTTAAAAAAAACAACAACCAGGTTTAGAGGGGAAGTGAAGGCAGCTGTAATATATAACAAAGGGAAGAAGGGAGAAGTTGATAGTAATAAATGTAAATCAGAAGTGAAAAATTGTAGAAAATTGATACGGGAACTCAAAGGACACAAGGAAAAAAATATATGGCCAGCAGAGTTAAGAACAATAAGGAATTTAAAAAATATATTAGGAACAAAAAGAATCCTGACAATGGTACTGGTCTATTACAGGGGTCTCAAACATGCAGCCCGCAGAGCTTTTTCCTGCGGCCATCAAGCTCCCCTTCCCCTTCGCTCCCGCGCACCGCATCCCTGCTCCTCTGCCTGCCTCCAGGCGCTTCCCGCCGTCAAACACCTGTTGGCGGCGCTTAGCGCTTTACAGGAGGGAGTGGGGAGGAGCAGGGAGCCGTGACCTCAGGGGAGGAGGCGGAGAAGAGGCGGGGCAGGGGCGGGGATTTGGGGAAGAGGTTGGAATAGGGGTGGGGAAGGGGCGGAGTTGGGGCAGTGCTTTTGTATCTTTATATGAAAAGGTGTCTGTGATGCAGCCCTCGGGCCAACGTACTAGTCCTCATGTGGCCCTCGTGGTGATTTGAGTTTGAGATCCCTGATCTACTACTAGATGGAAATGGTAGAATTATCAATATTAATGCAAAAAAGGCAGACGTGTTCAATAAATATTTCTGTTTTGTATTTGGGGGGAAAGAAAAGATGATGCAGTCTCATCATACAGTGATAACACTCCTTTCTGTGAGTATCTCTGGAGGATATTAAACAGAAGCTACTAAAACAAGCCACTTTTAGATCAGCTGGCCCAGAAAATGTGCATCGAGGAGTTTTAAAAGAGCTGGCTGAGGCGCTCACTGGACCATTCATGTTGATTTTTTTTAAAAAAAATAAGTCTTGGCACACTGGGAAGTTCCAGAAGAAAGCTAATGTGCCAATTTTTAAAAAGGTAAACAGGATGACTCAGGTAATTGTCAGGCTGATAGGCCTATATTGATCCCAGGCAAGATAATGGAGCAACTGCTAGAGTACTCAGTCAATAATAAACTAAAAGAGGGTAATATAATTAATGGAATTCTATGGAAAAACAGATCCTGTCATACTAACTTGATTTTTTTTTTTTTGATGAGATTACAAGTTTGGTTGATAAACGTAGTAGTGTTGAAGTAATATACTTAGACTGCTGTAAGGCGTTTGAGTTGGTACCACATGACATTTTGATTAAAAAACTAGAATGACATCAAATGAACATGACACACATAAAATGGATTAAAAACTGGCTAACTGATGGGTCCCAAAATATACCTGTAAATGAGAAATAGTCACCAACCGAGTGTGTTTCCAGAGGGGTCCTGCAGGGATTAGTTCTTAGCCCTATGTTACTTAACACGTTTGTTAGGAACACTAATAAAAATCTGCAGATGACAGAAAAATTAGGGGAGTAGTAAAGAATGAAGAGGACAGATCATTCATACAGAGCAATCTAGCCCTCTTGGTACAGTGGATGCCACAAACAATGTGTGTTTTAATACGGTTCAATGCAAACACTTGGGAACAAAGAATGCAGGCTGTACTTACAGGATAGGAGACTATCCTGGGAAGCAGTGACTCTAAAAAAGATTTGGGGGGGTGGTAGCGAATCAGCTGAACATGAGCTCCCTGTGCAACACTGCGGCCAAAAGATCTAATACAATTCTGGGATGCATAAATGCTAAATTTTACCACTCTATTTGGCACGGGCATGACTGCTGCTGGAATACCGTGTCCAGGTCTGGTGCTCACCATTCAAAAAGGATGTTGATAAACTGGGGGGGATTCAGAGATGAGACACAGGAATGATTACAGGATTAGGATGCCATTTAATGATAGTCAAGGAGCTCAATCTATTTAGCTTAAAGATAGAGTTAAGAGATGACTTGATTAAAGTACCTACACGGGGAACAAATACTTAGTAATGGGGTCTTCAATCTAGGAGAGAAAGGTATGACATGATCCAATGGGTGAAAGCTGAAACTAGACAAATTCATATTGGAAATAAGGCATATTTTTTTATAAGTGAGAGTAATTAACCATGGGAACAATTTCCCAAGGGGTGAAGTGGATTCTCCATCACTGGTGATTTTTTTACATGAAGACTGGCTGTTTTTTCTAAAAGCTCTGCTCCAGGAATTATTCTGGGGCAGATCTCTGGCCCGTGTCGTACAGAAAGTCAGATTAGCTGACCACACTGGTCTCCTCTGGCCTTACAGTCTAGGAAAGCAGGTCAGCGAGGGCCAGGCAGAGAGGGGAAAGGAGCAAGAAGCCTGCACTGCTCTCCAGGAGACAGGGTCATGAGTTAAAGCCTGGCACATAGGATCCTAGAAGCTAGAGACAATCTGTGAAGACCCCTCTCCCCAAGCTTAGGGCTCCTCCAGTACCAAGTGTCTGGAGGAGGTTGGTCTAGCCAGTGTTTGGGGGCAATGTGCAATGCTGGCTGGATTGGAGACGTTTCGGGGTGGCCCTGGCTTGACCCTAAACTGCCCCCGGAGTCCTACCAAGGCGGCTGTGGCCTCCCGGGGAGGAAGGAGAGCGCTGTTCTCCCCAGGGAAGGGCAGGGGAAGTGAGGCGAGCCATGAGCCCACAGTGAGTAGCGCAGACCCGGGGAGAACCCAGAGCCCTTTCTAACGCTGCCGCGAGCCCTAACCACCCAGCCACTCTGGGTCTGCGCCCGCCGGCCCCCCAGCCCGACCCCCCGCAGGGCCTGGTCCCCGGCCCCTACTCCTCCCCTCGGGTCGGGCTGGCCTTAGGGCGTGTCCGAGCCTGGCGGGAGCTGCCCTTGGCTGGGCCCGAGCTCAGGGCCCCGCGGGCAGGGGAGCCCTGTGAGCGCCAGCCCTGCCCCGGGGAGCCGGGGGCTCCCGGGCCGCCCCCTACCTGGGTGACGATGGAGGCGCTGGCGGCCAGGCCGCCCTCCGTGGCCTGCAGCTGGCGGTGGGAGACGCTGAGCCCGTCGGCCGCGGCGCTGGCCAGGCTGACGGCGCTGCCGTGCACGGCGGCGAAGTAGGTGAGCGGCTTGTCGCGCAGGGGCAGCACGCTCAGGTTGTTGTACAGCGCCGAGCTGCTGCTCTTCAGCGGGACGCTCCGCTCCCTGCGGTACATCCTGCGGGAGCGGGCGGGGGGGCCGGGCGGGGGGGGGGGCTGGGGGGGCCGGGCCACGCGCACGCGGGGGGCCGGGGCGGGGCCGGGGCAGAGCCCGAGCCAGGGGGCCGAAGGGGGCCGCGATCCCTCCCGCTCACCCCGTGTCCCCCGCTGCCATGGAGACGGCGCAGCGCGTGGTCAGGGCGCGGGCGTCGCAGCGCGATGACATCACGGCCCGGGACGGGGCTGGCGTTGCCTTGGTGACGGGGACGCAGGCAGCGGAAGGGGGGCAGGGGCTGCGGGGGCTCCAGCCGGCTCGGTGCGGGGCCGGGGGGTGCAAGGGTGGCTGGGAGGGGGCACGGTTGGGGGTGGGGTGCAGTGGGGGTGGAGGGGGCCATGGCTGGGAGGGTGGGGGTGGGGGTGGGGGTTGGGGGTGCAATGGTGGCTGGGAGGGGGCACGGTCGGGGGTGGGGGTCCAGTGGGGGTGGAGGGGGCCATGGCTGGGAGGGGGCACGGTCGGGGGTGGGGGTGAGTGGGGGTGGGGGGGGTGGGGGTCGGGGGTGCAATGGTGGCTGGGAGGGGCACGGTCGGGGGTGGGGGTCCAGTGGGGGTGGAGGGGGCCATGGCTGGGAGGGTGGGAGTGGGGGGTGCAATGGTGGCTGGGAGGGGACGGTTGAGGGTGGGGGTGCGGTGGGGGTGGGGGGCATGGCTGGGAGGGCGGTGCTGGCTGTGGGGGGTTCAATGGTGGCTGGGAGGGGCACGGTCGGGGGTGGGGGTGCAGTGGGGGTGGAGGGGCCATGGCTGGGAGGGTGGGGGTGCAAGGGTGGCTGGGAGGGGGCACGGTCGGGGGTGGGGGTGCAGTGGGGGTGGAGGGGCATGGCTTGGAGGGTGGGGGGTGCAAGGGTGTCTGGGAGGGGGCACGGTCGGGGGTGGGGGTGCAGTGGGGGTGGAGGGGGCCATGGCTGGGAGGGTTGGGGTGGGGGGTGCAATGGTGGCTGGGAGGGGGCACGGTCGGGGGTGGGGGTGCAGTGGGGGTGGAGGGGGCCATGGCTGGGAGGGCGGTGCTGGCTGTGGGGGGGGTGCAATGGTGGCTGGGAGGGGGCATGGTCGGGGGTGGGGGTCCAGTGGGGGTGGAGGGGGCCATGGCTGGGAGGGTGGGGGTGGGGGGGTGCAATGGTGGCTGGGAGGGGGCACGGTTGAGGGTGGGGGTGCGGTGGGGGTGGAGGGGGCATGGCTGGGAGGGCGGTGCTGGCTGTGGGGGGTTCAATGGTGGCTGGGAGGGGGCACGGTCGGGGGTGGGGGTGCAGTGGGGGGGGGGGCCTGGCTGGGAGGGTGGGGGGTGCAATGGTGGCTGGGAGGGGGCACGGTCGGGGGTGGGGGTGCAGTGGGGTTGGAGGGAGCCATGGCTGGGAGGATGGTGCTGGGGTTAGGGGGGTGCAATGGTGGCTGGGAGGGGGCACAGTTGGGGGTGCAGTGGGGGAGGGGGCCATGGCTGGGAGGGTGATGCTGGCTGTGGGGGGTGCAATGGTGGCTGGGAGAGGGCACGGTCGGGCGTGGGGGTGCCCTTTACATCTGAAGAGCTAGCCCCACCCAGCAGAAGGCCCAGCAGCACAAAGGTGCTGGAGGGGAGGCCAAGACCACAGGCCCCCACCTGCAGCCTCTTCAACCTATTGAATTGCCTGCTTGCTTGTCCTCCTTGTCCCAGCGTCAGTTGCCAGAACTCCCTGCATTCTGTGTCCAGCGAAGGTCCCCAGCGCTAAGGACAGGGAATACCACTCGAGCCCAGTCCTTCCTGGGGAACGTTCTAGCACCCAGGCGTCCTGACTCCCAGACCCCTGCTCTAACCATTAGAACTTGCTGTCTCCCAGATACCGGAACGACACTCACATGAACCCCTGCACAGATCCTTGTCACCAGTCCCTGGTGTCCCTGTGAGGAGTGGATGGGAGAGGCATCAGGGCATTGCCTTTGGAGCATAACGTGCTCACAGTCCCTGTGGCCGTAGCATCCATTTTAAAGCACAGTGTACAGTGCTAGGAACTGCATGGGGCCTGTAGGCCATACTGGCTTGGTCCTTCACTCAGTGTTATCCCCAGCTGGTGGCCCTGTCTAGCCCTATGTTGCTCATTGCCCTGGGTAGACCCCATATAAAATGATGGGGGTCTAAATGAGCTGTTACCACTCAAGAAAGATCTTAGAGTCATTGTGGGGAGTTCTCTGAAAACATCCACTCAATGTGCAGCGGCCGTCAAAAAGCGAACAGAATGTTGGGAATCATTAGGAAAGGGATAGATAATAAGACAGAAAATATCATGTTGCCTCTGTATAAATCTATGGTGCGCACAAGTCTTGAATACTGCCTGCGGATGTGGTTGCCCCATCTCAAAAAAGATATATTGGAATTGGAAAAGATTCAGAAAAGGGCAACAAAAATGATTAGGGGTATGGAACAGCTTTTGTATGAGGAGAGATTAATAAGACTGGGACTTTTCAGCTTGAAAAAGAGGCGACTAAGGGAGGATATGATAGAGGTCTATAAAATCATGACTGGTATGGAGAAAGTAAATAAGGAAGTGTTATTTACTCCTTCTCATAACAAAAGGTTACCCAATGAAATTAATAGGCAGCAGGTTTAAAACAAACAAAAGGAAGTATTTTTTCACACAACACACAGTCAGTCTGTGGAACTCTTTGCCAGAGGATGTTGTGAAGGCCAAAACTATAACAGGGTTCAAAAAAGAACTAGATACATTCATGAAGGAGAGGTCCATCAATGGCTGTTAGTCAGGATGGGCAGGGATGGTATCCCAGCATCTTTGCCAGCAGCTGGGAATGGGCGACAGGGGATGGATCACTTGGTGATTGCCTGTTCTGTTCATTCCCTCTGGGGCACCTGGCACTGGCCACTGTCGGAAGACAGGATACTGGGCTAGATGGACCTTTGGTCTGACCCAGCACAGCCTTTCTTATGTTATGTTCTTATGGGTACAGTGCTAATGGGATGGTGCTGACGGGCATTATCATATTTCCCTGCAGAAAATGACGTCCCGGGACCGTGTGCCTCTCTCCAAGTCGCGGGCGGAGAAGTCACGCCCCCCCACGGTACCCATCCCTCAAGTGGATATCATTCCAGGGCGCCTCTCTGAGTCGGAATGGATCTCCCTGGTCACCATGGAGGAAGGAGAGGATGGAGTGGGAGATATCCTGGCAGGGATGATAAACCAAGTGATGGATGAGTGCTATAAAGTGTACCTGGCTCGGCAGGTGAGCATGCCAGGCCGCGGCTTTCCATGGAATCTAAGTGGTAGATGGTACAGCTCTCTTTGGTCCCAGCTTTGGGCTCAGGGCAGGACTGTTCCTTACAGGCTACTCTCCAGGGCTTTGTTCTGGCTACTTCTGAATGGCCCCAGCCGCAGGGCCATTCTTCTGCGTTCATTCTGTAGGGAGCCACTGAGAAAACTGGCTGTGTGAAACCAAGCCCTATGGTAACAGATGGAAGGGTTCAGGGAAAGGTATTGGTCCAGAGGGACCAGGCCATCTGACCCGGAGCGGCTCTATGCTGCTGCTTGCTTCATGGAGAGGAAGGAAAGCAGAGCAGGGATCCAGGACGGATCCTTCCTGTGGCCACTAGAAATGGAGCTTCTGGAGGGGATGGGGCAAGATTTCCTGTTGCAGTGGCCTCTGTATGACCCTGCCTTGGCTGCCCAGCTCCTTGCTCGAAGCTGGATTTGTATCCCTCTCCCTCAGGCTGAGAGCTCCTGGAACCCCAGGGGAAATCTCTTTGCTTACACAGAAGTCTTCATGCTCCCATCCACCGGCTCCCAGGCTGAGTACACCCCGAGTCACACTCAGCTCCTGCCCTCAGCCATTAGGCACTCAGATACCGTGGTGATGGGTATGGTCTGGTACCCCAAATAGAATGGGCATCTCCCTCCTGGCCTTCAACTCTCCTCTCAGCTCCATTATGGAGATAGTAGCCTCTGCTCTCCAGGGGTGGGACTGCGTCAGTGCTCTGGGGTGCTGAGCTTCGTGCAACATGGATTATTTTACTATCTGCAGATTGCTTAGTTGGAAGGGGTACCCATCCTGACAGTCACCTCCCTGGCCACACGCCTCTCTTCTGACTCAGCACGTGAGCTGCACCAGCTTGGACTACCTTTGATTCAGTGGGCCAAAGTCAGAGGTGGCATGGACAGCAAGGGCACACTGATGGGTGGGGTGTGCCTATGGGAGTTGGGATGGAGTCTTGGTCTCCTGCCTCACTCCTAGCCAAAGTCAGGAAGCAAGTGGGTGGTGCTGGGCTCATTCTGTCTCTGCTCTGCTTTCCCAGTGCATCCCATTCACCGTCAGCCAGGCGCGGGATGCCATCCTGCAGATTGCCGAATGGCGCTTCCTGGCGCGGGATGAGGGGGAGGCCACCGTGGAAGAAGATGCCACCTGGCAGGAGGAGGAGGAGCCAGTGGCCTGTGTCACAGACTCGTGGGCACAAGGCTCAGTTCCCGTTATGCGAACCAGTCTGACCCTGTTACCGCAGGGGAGAGAGGTACTCTAGCACCAGGGCTTACCTTGGGAGCACTGGCTCTGGACCAGTGGGGGGTGGGGGAAGGAAGCAGGCTGCTCCTGAGTGCTTGTCCTGACAGAGGCATTCTGGGCCTGGCAGGGCTCAAGAGATGAGACCTGAAACTGCCTTCAATCCGATTAGTACTCTAGGGCCAGATTCTGCTTGGAGCTCCACCACGGAGGAGTCCATGGAGATACAGGACCAGTCCTGCTGGGCGTGAGTCCTGGACTTCAGGCCAGAGAGACAGCCTTGAAAGACAGAATCACGGTCACAGCCTTGTAAGGCCTCCTGACCACCTGCCCCTTTAAGCCATTGCTCACTGGAGAAAGTCCTCCCGGCCTCTTGGGATTAGAGAAGCACAGTCCAGTTCCCCACTCCCAGTGGCAGCAGTGGTTTGCTGAGTTCTCTTCGCTGCACCCAGTACTCTGCCCCTCAGAGTGCAAGAAGCTGTAGGAGAGTCTGGCTTAGACTCTGGTGGAGCTGTGCCCCATGCAGCTACTAGCCAGGATGCCGGGCCTTGTCTCACCTATTCAATGCCTTGGAGCAGAGGTGTGAGGGTCCCTCCTGAGGATCTCTGCCTAGAGAGGAAGGACATCTGTGTGGCTAAGGCATTGGATTTGGACTTCGGAGATCCCTGTTCTGCCACAAGGTCCCTGGGCGGCCTTGGGTGAATCACCTAATCTCTCTGGACTTCTTTTCCCATCTGTACAATGGGGCGAGAGCTTCCATACGGTACTCACCGGGGTGTTGGGAGGACAAGTGCCCTGACACGGTGAGGCTTGGAACCTACAGGGATGAATGCCATGGAAAACATCATCAGCCCATCCCCCAGCTTCCAGGAAACTAGGGTGCCCTTGCAGCCTGTGGATCCGGCAAGTGCCTTCTTCAGTATGGAGCTGCCTGCAGAGACAACCTGTCTCGGCATGTGATGCTTCACCTTGAGCCAAACAGCCTCTGAGATTTTGTCCATGGATGAGGAGTTCCAGCCACCCCCTCTCTACCAAGCCAGTCAATAAGCGTGTCCAGCAATGCTGGGCTTTGTGCTGTGGTCATCTGACCCCTAGAAATTGCACTGGTATGCCTACCCCTCCCGTGGATGATAGGCTTTCCCCCCTTCCCTTCTCAGTGAGGTAGCTCATCCACTCCCACGAGCCAAGCCAGTGAGGTTCCCACAGACATGCTGAGATTTGGGTGTGCATCAGAGCAGGCGGTGACCCCTTAATGCCCTGCCACCATGGGACAGTCAGTCAACATGGCATGTCTGTATGAGTGTAAATACTTCCTTCCTAGCTCCTGCTGGTCCTACAGCCCTTCCAACAGGTCCCATGTGCCAGAGACCCATTGTCAATAGAGCTTTGAAATGGGGCACTACCGGGACAGCAGGTAAGAGCGGGTCGGCTCCCGCACACCCAGCGCGTGCTGCAGCCTCCTTAGGCAGGGGCTGTATTCACAGAGCCGAATGCTCCAGCACCGTGCGCTCTGTGTGAGGGGGAGGGTACAGGGGTCTCTGCGGGGAACTCAGACTCTCCGCCGGTGTGAGGTGGGTCGGGCAGCTCGGTATCCTTTGCTGCCTCGTCTCTCCCCCCCACGTTGCGAGCCCGGGCTGCCGCAGCATCTGCTGCATACAAAGCTCGGTGTGTGTTTCAAAGCCAATGGAGGGACGTGTGACAGGTTCCCCCTGGGCTGCCACCTGGAACTGGAGTGCCACTGAGCCCTCTGACCCACCAGCCTGGGCTCCCTCTCACACTGGGCTGCTGTGACGATGTCCAAACCCCTCCAGCCTTCACACAGGTAGGGACACACCCAGCTGCAGTTACACACAGGCCCTCTAACTACCAGCTTCCCAGCCTAGGACCCAGAGCAGTACTGTCCTGCCCTGGTCAAATCTGGCCAGTATATGGGTTTAATACCCAGTCCGCCTCTCTCTCAGTGTGAAGAGAACAATGCACACTTGTGGTAACCAAGCAGAGATTTTCCCCAAGCACTCCAGTCAAAGCTCACTGGTTTGGATTAAAACATAAAATAAATTTATTCACTACAAAAGATAGATTTTACGTGATTATAAGTGATAGCAAACAGATCAAAGCAGATTACCTATTAAATAAACAAAAAATGCAAACTGAGCTTAATATATTAGGTAGATTGGATATGAATTAGCAGATTCTCACCGAAAAATTATACAAGCAGGCTGCATCTATTGGGCTGGATGAATGCACTACAAGGTGGGTAGAAAGCTGGCTAGATTGTCGGGCTCAACGGGTAGTGATCAATGGCTCCATATCTAGTTGGCAGCCGGTATCAAGTGGAGTACCCCAAGGGTCAGTCCTGGGGCCGGTTTTGTTCAATATCTTCATAAATGATCTGGAGGATGGTGTGGATTGCACTCTCAGCAAATTTGCGGATGATACTAAACTGGGAGGAGTGGTAGATACGCTGGAGGGGAGGGATAGGATACAGAAAGACCTAGACAAATTGGAGGATTGGGCCAAAAGAAATCTGATGAGGTTCAATAAGGATAAGTGCAGGGTCCTGCACTTAGGACGGAAGAACCCAATGCACAGCTACAGACTAGGGACCGAATGGCTAGGCAGCAGTTCTGCGGAAAAGGACCTAGGGGGTGACAGTGGACGAGAAGCTGGATAGGAGTCAGCAGTGTGCCCTTGTTGCCAAGAAGGCCAATGGCATTTTGGGATGTATAAGTAGGGGCATAGCGAGCAGATCGAGGGACGTGATCGTTCCCCTCTATTCGACATTGGTGAGGCCTCATCTGGAGTACTGTGTCCAGTTTTGGGCCCCACACTTCAAGAAGGATGTGGATAAATTGGAGAGAGTCCAGCGAAGGGCAACAAAAATGATTAGGGGACTGGAACACATGAGTTATGAGGAGAGGCTGAGGGAGCTGGGATTGTTTAGCCTGCAGAAGAGAAGAATGAGGGGGGATTTGATAGCTGCTTTCAACTACCTAAAAGATAGCCCTTTCAACTACCTAAAAGGGGGTTCCAAAGAGGATGGCTCTAGACTGTTCTCAATGGTAGCAGATGACAGAACGAGGAGTAATGGTCTCAAGTTGCAGTGGGGGAGGTTTAGATTGGATATTAGGAAAAACTTTTTCACTAAGAGGGTGGTGAAACACTGGAATGCGTTACCTAGGGAGGTGGTAGAATCTCCTTCCTTAGAGGTTTTTAAGGTCAGGCTTGACAAAGCCCTGGCTGGGATGATTTAACTGGGAATTGGTCCTGCTTTGAGCAGGGGGTTGGACTAGATGACCTTCTGGGGTCCCTTCCAACCCTGATATTCTATGATTCTATGATTCTATGCAGAGTCTTAAGGGGCAAGCTGCACTTGCTTTACAGCTTGGAAAACCTGGGCAGGGCCATCCTTGGGATTTATGGGGGCCTATGCAGTATTATTAAACTGGTGCCCGTGTGCCCGACGTGGGGCACAGTGACCACTGCCGCCCACGGACCCCCAGAAGAACCCCCGCATTGCTGACACACACCGAGCTTTGTATGCAGCAGATGCTGTGGCAGCCTGGGCTCGCAACGTGGGGGGGAGAGACGAGGCAGCAAAGGATACCGAGCTGCCCGGCCCACCTCACACCGGCGGAGAGTCTGAGTTCCCCGCAGAGACCCCTGTACCCTCCCCCTCACACAGAGCGCACGGTGCTGGAGCATTCGGCTCTGTGAATACAGCCCCTGCCTAAGGAGGCTGCAGCGCGCGCTGGGTGTGCGGGAGCCGACCCGCTCTTACCTGCTGTCCCGGTAGTGCCCCACATTTTCGGGTGCCCTACGCAGCCGCATAAGCTGCATATGCCTAAGGAGGGCCCTATCCCCAGATCATTCATACACAGGCTAGAAATCCCTTTATCCTGGGTCCAGCACTTCCCCCATTTCAGTCTTTGTTCCTCAGGTGTTTCAAGGAGTCTTCTTGTGAAGAACCCCAGATGATGTCACTCCCTGCCTTATATAGATTTAGCATATGGCGGGACCCTTTGTTTCCAAGCTTGGTTAGCAGACCAGTCTGTGGAAAAACACTGACATCCCAAGGTGCAGACCAGCGTCATGTGGCCTGGTCACGTGTCCTTGTAGAGTCATAGTAGCCATGTAGGCTGTCTGTAGCATTCTCAGGAACGCTCCCAAGATGGGGCATAACCTTCTCCTAAGGCCTATTGTTTTTCCTAATGACCCATTACCCTGAATAGGCCCTGCCCCACCCGCTTTCTAGACTGAAAGCATCTTGTCTAGTGGGCATTACCCAGGTGTAACTACATTTGAAGTACAGACACATAGTCAGTATTTATAACTTCAGGTACAAAAATGATTCATGCATACAAATAGGATAATCATATTCAGGCAATCTTAACCTTTTCGTGACATCCTACATGATCTGTCTTGCGTAATATGCATCATAATTATGCCATAATCCTATTGTACTGATACCACTATGAAGAATATGGGCTGCAGTGTTGCAGGATGCTGATGTGTTAGAAAGGAACAGGAATGATCCGGGGCCCAGCTCATTCCCATTTGTTGCTGCGTGCACTGAAAGGGATTTGTTTGCTGTCGGATCTTGCGACAGTCGCAGGATGTCTCACGGTGGAACATCTCTTGGAGCTGCTTGGCCAGGAGGGGTATAGAGGAGGTTCAGGGTGAACAGCAGAGTCAGTTCAGCCCTTCATTCTGCCAAGGCTGTCCACTGGGAGAGGCGCGGGAGGAGTGATGTGCCAGCATGACCTCACCAACCAGCTCCCTCTCTGACACTGAAGACCTTGACCCCAAACACCCCCTGCACTATGGCCTGGCTCTTGCCTTCCACCCATTTGCTGGGGTATGAAGAAATGGCCTTCAGGCCCTGCTACTGAGTGGGCAACAGCTTGTCCTGGGTGTGGTGGCCACTCTGGCGTGTGAAGCTGAGGCTTTCTCTTTACATTAATGGCTATTTCCAACAGGTGTCTTTGGACAAACTCCCCGAGGAAACACTTTCCCATGAGGAGATGCGGTTCTACACAGGATCCCCCGAGGTGCCAGCAGGCACCCTGTCCGAACAGCCTTCTCAGGAGGAGGGGGTCAAGTCTGCAAAGTCATCCAGGCCCCAGAATCTGCTTTCCCAGCCAGCCCCAGCCCCAGCCCCACCCCCCTTGCCTAAGACCAGAAAAGCATACAGGCCCTATCGAGGACTGCTGCACTCAGCCAGCCTTAAGAATATGGCCAGGCCCCTACAGGAGACTGAGAAGGAGCTTCTCCGGCAGCAGCTCTCACAGACCCTGCCTGAGGAATCACCACAGGAGGATCTTTGCAGCCTTCACCAGCTCCTGCCCATGTCCTGCAGCAACCTGCTGAAGATCCAGACGGGCAGGCCCCCCAAGATCAAGGATGTGATGTACAATGAGTTTGGTACAGTCATCGCCATGCCCAAGCTGGACCCAGCCCGTCTACCCAAGTGCTGGATCAAGCCCCAGGTGGAGGTGCTGGATCCAGATGTTGAGGCCAAGCGGCAGGAAGTTCTCAAAACTGTCTCCGGGCGTGGCCAGAGGAGTACGAAGTCCCATCGCCATGCAGCCCAAGGGCCAGGGGTGGGAGAGCTCATTAGCACTAAGCTGCTCCAGGACACGGGGCCCATGCGGAGTGGTGGGCTGGCCCAGGCTTTCTGTCAGAGCCACGCAGACAAGAGAGCACAGCATTTGCCTTCCAAAGGGAAAAGCCTTGAACCCAGCAGCCATGTCTACTGGAAGCCCAGCAACCTGCTGGACTCTATTGAGCTGGCCCCAGGAGTGGCAATCAGGGACAGCAGCAGTGTGAAGTGTGGGCCCCACCATGGTGCACTCTATGAAGAGGGAGGGGAAGGGGTCTTCCAAAGAAAGCTCAGGCTCATCCGCCCCAGACTGCCCCTTCCCGCCGTTGCTGTGGAGCAGCTCATCTGTGATCACATGCCCCAGGTCCAGCCAGCAGCTCTGCTCACATCCCTCATGTCATCAGGGCCAGAGCACTTGTAAGTGCAGCATGCTCCCTGCCCTCCCCTCTGGGACTGGGCTGGTGTGCCGTACCATCGCATGGCCTGTTACAGAACCCCAGCCTCTCCAGCCAGTGTGGTGTGCAGGGGTGTCTCGCTGCGTGGCTGTGGTAACCTGCTGGTGCGTGTGACGAGGGACCTGCCTGCGCTGACCTCCTCATCTTCCCTGGCTCTTGGTAACAATAAATCCCAAGCACCCACAGCATGATTCACTTGCCTGCTTTGGTTCCACCTCCCTGCAGACCAGCCCCTCTGACCCAGGAGACCCCGCAGCATCCGGGGGGACAGCCTGGGCCCCAAGGCTACAGGCCGCCTGGATGCTATTAATTTACCTGCTATAACCTCGCCCAGCTGCAGCAGGGATGATTGCTTAATGAAATCATAGAATCATAGAATATCAGGGTTGGAAGGGACCCCAGAAGGTCATCTAGTCCAACCCCCTGCTCGAAGCAGGACCAATTCCCAGTTAAATCATCCCAGCCAGGGCTTTGTCAAGCCTGACCTTAAAAACCTCTAAGGAAGGAGATTCTACCACCTCCCTAGGTAACGCATTCCAGTGTTTCACCACCCTCTTAGTGAAAAAGTTTTTCCTAATATCCAATCTAAACCTCCCCCACTGCAGCTTGAGACCATTACTCCTCGTTCTGTCGTCTGCTACCATTGAGAACAGTCTAGAGCCATCCTCTTTGGAACCCCCTTTCAGGTAGTTGAAAGCAGCTATCAAATCCCCCCTCATTCTTCTCTTCTGCAGGCTAAACAATCCCAGCTCCCTCAGCCTCTCCTCATAAGTCATGTGTTCTAGACCCCTAATCATTTTTGTTGCCCTTCGCTGGACTCTCTCCAGTTTATCCACATCCTTCTTGAAGTGTGGGGCCCAAAACTGGACACAGTACTCCAGATGAGGCCTCACCAATGTCGAATAGAGGGGAACGATCACGTCCCTCGATCTGCTCGCTATGCCCCTACTTATACATCCCAAAATGCCATTGGCCTTCTTGGCAACAAGGGCACACTGCTGACTCCTATCCAGCTTCTCGTCCACTGTCACCCCTAGGTCCTTTTCCGCAGAACTGCTGCCTAGCCATTCGGTCCCTAGTCTGTAGCTGTGCATTGGGTTCTTCCGTCCTAAGTGCAGGACCCTGCACTTATCCTTATTGAACCTCATCAGATTTCTTTTGGCCCAATCCTCCAATTTGTCTAGGTCCTTCTGTATCCTATCCCTCCCCTCCAGCGTATCTACCACTCCTCCCAGTTTAGTATCATCCGCAAATGTGCTGAGAGTGCAATCCACACCATCCTCCAGATCATTTATGAAGATATTGAACAAAACCGGCCCCAGGACCGACCCTTGGGGCACTCCACTTGATACCGGCTGCCAACTAGACATGGAGCCATTGATCACTACCCGTTGAGCCCGACAATCTAGCCAGCTTTCTACCCACCTTATAGTGCATTCATCCAGCCCATACTTCCTTAACTTGCTGACAAGAATACTGTGGGAGACCGTGTCAAAAGCTTTGCTAAAGTCAAGAAGCAATACATCCACTGCTTTCCCTTCATCCACAGAACCAGTAATCTCATCATAAAAGGCGATTAGATTAGTCAGGCATGACCTTCCCTTGGTGAATCCATGCTGGCTGTTCCTGATCACTTTCCTCTCATGCAAGTGCTTCAGGATTGATTCTTTGAGGACCTGCTCCATGATTTTTCCAGGGACTGAGGTGAGGCTGACTGGCCTGTAGTTCCCAGGATCCTCCTTCTTCCCTTTTTTAAAGATTGGCACTACATTAGCCTTTTTCCAGTCATCCGGGACTTCCCCCGTTCGCCACGAGTTTTCAAAGATAATGGCCAATGGCTCTGCAATCACAGCCGCCAATGTTCTAGCTGTGTGGGTGGGAGTGGAGGAGGGACTGGAGGTTGCAGGCAGGAATTCAGTTCACTTCTCTGGTTACCATGCACACCCTGAGCCCACCCATGGCAAAGCACATTGTATCATGCCGTTCGCAGGGCATCCTCCACGCAGTGCACAGAACTCCGCTGTGGGCAAGCTGTGGCTGCAACCTGCAAGAGGTCAAAGTCAGAAAATTCAAAGCTGTGCTTCCTCATGGGCATGCCTAGGTCCTGGGAGTCTATACCAGGGTTGGGAAGAGTAACTCTCCCTAGCTTGGGGCCCTGGCCGCCCTGGGGCATGGGGTGGATTCGAAAGAGGTTACAAGATGGTTAAGGAGGAGCCTGGTGCTTCATGTTGCAGAATGCAGAGTGAAGGCTGCAGGAGTTTGTGTTTCATAGATTTTTAAGGCCAGAAGGGACAGTTCCGATCATCGTCTGACCTCCGGCATAGCACAGGCCACTGGATTTCACCCAGTGATTCCTGCATCACACCTGTAACTCATGGGTTAGCTAAAGCAGACCTTTTAGAAAGAGCCATCCAATCTTGATTTAAAGACTTAGTGGTGGAGAATCCACCACATCTGTACGGAAGTTGTTCCAATGGTTAATTACCCTCAGTGTAACAAACATGTGCCTCGTTTCTACTCTGAATTTGTCTAGCTTCAGCTTGCAACCATTGGATCTTTTTCTGCCTTTGTCTGCTATGTTATAGAGTCTCCTGGTATCAGAAATCTCCTCCCCATGTAAGTAATGCTTGGCTATGATCAAGTCTCCTTTTAACAATCTCTTGGGTAAAGTAAATAGATCGAGCTTCTTGAGTCTCTGATTGTGAGGCAGGTTTTCCAGACCTCGGATTGTTCTTGTAGCGCTGTTCTGAACCCTTTCCAATTTGTCCACATCCTTTTAAAAGTGTGGATACCAGAACCGGAGCCAGTATCAGTTAATGGTCCCAAAAATGCCAATATGGTGGTACTAACATCGCACTACCTCAACTCAATAGTCTCCTGCTTATACCCCCACGGATCACGTTTTCTCTGATAGCCACTGCGTTGTTCTGGGAGCACCTGTTGAGCTGGTAATCCATGATGACACCCAGGTCCCTTTCTGAGTCACCGATTTCCAAAATAGAGCCTCCCCATCAATAAGTGGGATCTAGATCTATGACCTTCCATGTAGTTGCATGAAAACAAGGGTAGTTCAAGTGAGTCTGACTTACCATGGTATCTAGATTACTGTGTTGAACTGACCTGTCATTATTTAACAGTCCACCAATTTGTGTGTCATCTTCAAACCTTCCCAGCAACAAGCTTATATTTTCTTCCAGATCATTGATAAAGACCTTGAATAGCAGTGAATCAAGAACAGATGTCAGTGGCACCCACTAGAAACACTCCTATTAGATCAAAAAGAACAGGAGGACTTGTGGCACGTTAGAGACTAACACATTTATTTGAGCATAAGCTTTCATGAGCTACAGCTCACCTCATCGGATGCATCCACTGCACTGGTGGGTGGGTTGGGGAAGGGCCGTGTTGGCTCATTTTAAGTCAGACTCTCTTTGATTTAAAACCATCTGCAGTCACCCTTATCAATCAGAAGCCTTCCCCTTATCTCATTAGTTATTCTTTGGACCAGACTTCCTCCCTACTTTATTCCTTTTGGCCTTATAACTCATTATTTTCATGGCCTTCCTTCTATTTGCTAGTAAGAGCCTTTCTTTACAACACTTTAATTCTTTAATGTTATACTTATCTTACATTAGGGGTTTTCATTCCATGTGCTCTGAGCTGCGAACTCAGCTGATGGGAAGAATCCACTTGCATGACTTATCCTCATGGGGTAGTGAGAGCAGAGCGACAAAGTATTTTGTCCTCTTTAATGTCCCTCAATAGTCCATTTGGCATTGATGGACCTTACCTTTTGGGCAGGACATAACACCTTCTGTTGGAGACCAGTACTTCACACTACTTCTCCTGTCTGGTGAGTTACACAGTCACAGAGGCTCACAATACAAATGCTTAAATATCAGCTTGCAATATGGGATACAGATGTTATAAGTGAGGCCCTGTCTACACTGGCAAGTTTCTGCACAGGTAAGCAGCTTTCTGCGCTGTATCTCCTGAGGTGTACACACGGCTGTGCCACTGAGTGCGCAGAAACTGCGCAGTTGTCGCGCTGTAAAAAACCCACCACGACGAGAGGCGTAGAGCTTTCTGCGCCATGGCTACAGCACTGCGGTACCAGCGTAGACACCCTGCTCGATCACAGCTCTGTGACCGGCCTCCGGGAGGTGTCCCTCAATGCCTGTTCTCGCCTCTGGTCATCTGTTTGAACTCTACTGCCCTGCCTTCAGGTGACCAACCGTCAGCCCCACCTCATACATTCCTTGGGAATTTTGAAAGTCCCCTTCCTGTTTGCTCGGTGATGCGTGCAGTGGTCTCAGCGCATCTTTCCAGGTGGCCAGGCCTGCTCCACGCACCGGGCAATCCCCCGCTTGGAGCTATGCTGAGCTGCTGGACCTCATCGGCATTTAGGGAGAGGAGGCTGTCCAGCCCCAGCTCTGCTCCCGCCATAGGAATTATGATCCCTACGGACAGATTTCACGATGTATGACAGAAAGGGGCCATGACCGGGACACACGGCAGTGCAAGGTCAAAGTGAAAGAGCTGCGGAACGCTGACCACAAGGCGCAGGAGCAAAGAGCTAGACGTGATACTCGGCGCCAACCCCACCTCCACTGTGAAGGCCACTGTGGATACTTCGGTGGCTCGCATGACAGTTGAGAGTGGACCGAGGCAGGAGGAGGAAATCTTGGACGAGGATGTGGAGAGGGAGGGGGACCCAAAGGCAGAGGATGACTCGGAGGTCAGAGATACATGCAGCCAGGAGCTCTTTTCTACCCCAGAGGAGGCTAGCCAGTCACAGTAGTAGGATCTTGGCGAAGCGCAAACAGGAGAGGAGGCCCCCCTCACTGCTGATGATTTTCTTTGTTTGACTCTCTCCTCCAGTTGTTGTCTTTTAATAAAATAGTTGTGTTGGTTTGAAAGCGATCTTTATTCTATTAAGTGAAAGCACAGAGAGCCCTGCAAAGCAAGAGACAATTATGTTAAACCCCCTTATTGCATCATGTGCACCAATCACCTCCTAACATTACAAGCACCGCACTCCTGAGCATAGCCACAAAGATTAGTGGCTTTCAGCTTCAAATTGCTGCCTCAAGGCATCCCTGATCCTTATGGCCCGGCACTGGGCCTCTCTAATAGCCCTGGTCTCTGGCTGTTCAAACTCAGCCTCCAGGCACTGAGACTCTGCGGTCCAGCCCTGAGTGAAGCTTTCACTCTTCCCTTCACAAATATTATGGAGTGTACAGCACGTGGCTATAAGCATAGGAATGTTGTACATCGGCCAGGTCCAGCTTCCCATACAGGTAGCGCCAGTGGGCTTTTAAATGGGCAAAAGCATACTCAACAATTCTGCACTTGCTCAGCCTGTTGTTGAATCGCTCCTTGCTGCTGTCAAGTTGCCTCATGAATGGCTTCATAAGCCATGGCATTAAGGGGTAGGTGGGGTCTCCCAGATCACAATGAGCATTTCAACGTCCCCCTACAGTGATCTTCTGATCTATGGAGAAAGTTCCTGCTTGCAGCTTCTTGAACGGGCCAGTGTTCCGAAAGATGCAC